TTGACAACATTTATCATTATCATAGATTGCCAAAACATATTATATTAAATAGTGTCATTGATATAATATATAGAAGACTAAATAAGAAGTTGAACAGAAGAGTTTCAATAAAAAAAAGCTAACATGAATTTAATTAAATCAAATAAGTAGAAGATCAATATCAAAAAAGGTGAACCAAAACTCAAAGAGATGTATTGTTGAAACTAAGAATCTCGTCAACTTCAATTCCAATATATATTAGGTATTAGAAAGCTTCTTGAGAAGTTTCCATATTTCTTAGAGACGAAGCAACTTTAAGATCTTTTTAAGATAATATTTTTAATATTTTTAGAATTTTATTGAATTTATTAGAATATTGTAGAAATATTTTTAAAATCTTCTACTTAAATATTTTAAGAACCTTATAAAATCTTTTAAAACCTTCTAAATCCTAATTAAATATTCTTAAAATATTTTTAAAATATTCTTATTGAATATTTGTAACAAATAAAGGAATTCAATTTGTATCATGATTTTATAAAATTCTTTTTAAGATTTTGAAGGTGGACATAAAGCTATATTTGATTTTTTTATCATTAGCAATTATCTTTTGATTAGTTTGTCAACAACCTAATAATTGCTTTAGTATTTATTTTGACTTTTAGCTTTAAAGTTAAAATCATCATGTAGATATGCTTACAAATTCAAAACATCACCTCAACTAAGAAAAATTGATCTATCTTTGGCATTGTCTACCAAGCCACATAAGTGTTTGAAGACTTAAACAACTCACTCAACATAAGAAAGTAACAAACTTATTTCTCAAAAATATTTCTCAACACATATATTCTATTTATCTCCATGGCAAAAAAATAATCATAAAGGTTACAAGAGCCATCACTTTTTTAGCCACTGAATCTCTTGAATTAATTTGTTTAGATTTAAGTGGAAGAATATCTCTACCCTCATTATTTGATTTAGAATATTATGTTACCTTCATCAATGACTACTTCTATTACATAGTTTTATAATTTTTTTAATACAAAAGGAAATATTTTGAATTCTTTAAAATTATCTATTAACTTTAAAAATATAAACTTACTATATCTTATATATCTTTTGTTCCAATCAAAAAGGAGAATATCTCTCTTCTAACTTTGATCAATATCTATCAACATATAGAATGAAATAATAATTAACAAATATCTATATTCTAAAATAAGATGGTGTTGCAAAAAGAAAAAAAATTGATTATTATTTAATGCTATCCAATGTATGTTTCATGATGCCTAACTTTCTAAATTATATTGAAAAAAAAATTACATGTGTCACTTATCTATAGAATTAAAATCTTATAAATGCCATCAATTACAATAAGATCATATTTGAGCTATGGCAAAATTGCAAATTTGAAATGTCTCATTTTTGAATATTTGGTATAAAATGCTTTGTCAAAATCTCAAATGCACTTTGTATAAAACTCAATCCTAAAACAAATAAATATATATTCTTTAGCTATAGCCTTATGAATAAAAGTTATAAACTTCAAAACATCATTATAAGAGCCATAATTATCACTCAAGATATTGTATTTCATAAGATATTCTTCCTTCTTTTCTTCCACTATTAATAAGAAACTTACAATCTTCCTCTACAATATCATTGGCACTATTCTTCTTTATAATAGTGGTCCAACATCTATGCTCTTGCAATCATACTTGTTTTTGTAATTTTTTCTTGATAGCTCTGCTACACTTATATTAGAGTCATTTGTCACAAAATATACTTCTTCATCCAGCATCTAGGTATTCATTTTGTCACTCCTCCCCACTTCTCTCCATTTTTAGTGGTTTTTGTTAAAGTTTGGTGATATTGGATCCACAATGCAACACTCTCATTTAACCTTAGTAGTTAGCCTATCAAAGTCGGCTTCTTTATTAACTCCAATAATGTTAGCTATTTTGAAACTAGAACTAATATATTTATACCATTTTAGTACTTCAACTAGCCTTTTCCACCATCCATGCTACTATCATAAATATACATATTTATTCCAATATTTACCTAAATAATATGAGGAAGTAGATGTAAGATAACTATTTAAATTAGAATAAATAATTTTCAATCAAGATTAAATTAGGTTTCTAGTAGTTCATAAATATAATTATATAAATATATAATATAAGAATTTTTGTCACTTTAATTAATATCTTTTTATAAAATGAGTGAAATGGTTTAAAAAATCTTATATGTATATGTAATAACTTATTAATTTTAGTTGCAAGAAGCTACAATTAACCTTCAAATAAATTATAAACATTACTTATTTCATTATCATAAATAAAATTTAAAGCAATTTTTCATGGAATTCTATTTATATTGATTTGAAGCTTAAATATTAATCTATTTAGATTAATAAGAATTTGATTAAATATTTTTAAGCAATAGGTGGAAAATTTAAGCATTTGTAATTAGTATTTTTTTAAAATATTTTTATTTGTGGTCAATTCTTTATAAAAATAAAAATAAAACACCCGTCAATATTTTTTTTATCAATCCAAACTTTAAAAATTGGAAAATTATAATTAGGTGAAATTGGATGTAGCTTCATATATTTTTTATTATTTCAATTATTGATTGATTTTTATAATATATATTTATTATATTTAATAGCTAAGATATTTAAAAAATATAATTCATTAAATAATATCTTTAAATTATTAAATTATATTAAAAATTATATTTTTTAATTAAATTTTTTTGAATTGACATTTTATTTCTTATATATATTAAATGGTTATTATTTTGATTTTAAATTTACATATTATTTAAAATATAATATTAATTTAATTTCATAAAAATAAAATATATTTGTATTATTTTATTTTTTTGAATTTCTTTTCAAAAAAAGCATTAGTTGTAAGATTAATAAAAGATTTTATAGATAGAATCAAGTAGTATCTTTTGATACTATCTACAAAATTCTAACTCTTATCTACAAAAATTTAAATGTTATTTATTTCCAAAAAAATAATATCTCATCTATTATTTTAAAAATATTTAAAATAGTTTAAATTTTATTTTATTATATTTGTAAGAAGATTTTTATATATTTTAAATAAAAAATAAATGTATTGTAGTAATATTTCATAAGTATGTGCAACTAAAAGTCATATTTTTCTTATACCAACTCTAAAAGATAACATAACATATTTTGCAATTGTCACAAACATCAATTTTGGCATTAGTAATTAGAGAAGTAAAAAGAATTACGTAGAATTAAAAGTAAATAAATTTGATAATATCTTAAGGAGAAGCTTTTTAAAAATTTGGTAGACTTGGATTTGACTTTACAAGTGTTTGTAGGTAATTAGTAGGTTGAAAACTTGGTCAACAAGTTGGCCATGTGTTATATATGTAAAAAACTTACCTTCTCAGTTAAATATATGTTCTACTAGTTGGACATGTATTGGATAATTTATAAAACATTGCCACATAGCTCTTTAATTTTATATCTATCTATCTATATATATATATATATATATATGCACAAGAATGAAGCCTTTTTCATTCTTGTCAATGCTTATCTTGTTTGGCAATAGCCATTCTAGTTTCTATTTTATATTCACTTTTATTTTGTTTGCTGTTTTTTTTAGCATCACAAAAGTATTTTATTTTTTTAGAATTTTATTATAATTTATCTTCTTTACAAAAATATATTGGTTTCTTCTTGGCCAGATTTAAGGCTTATTCTTAGCTATTATATTACTTTATTGTAACAGTCACATAAACTAGAGTTTTTATTTAACTATATGAAGTACAAATAAAATTATTTAATGAACAAATGGAATATTATTCTTGGATATAGAATATATATATATATATATATATATATATATATATATTGAGAGTATATTAAAATTAAACATCAATACTAATATACCAATATACTAAGATAATAAGGTTATATATTTATATAATATTTAAAAACTCATGCAAAAAATAATGTTTTTTTTAATTCTAATATTTTTTTTATTTTATTTTTTATAAGATATCTAAAATAATTATATATATATATATATAATTGAAATTAGAATCATTGATACAAAATATAAAATTTTTAAATTTTTTTTTTTTATAAAAGCTATTTTTTAATTTATCTTTATAAGATAATTATAATTTTTTATTTTGTCAAATTATTAAAAAAATATCTATTATTTAATACTCTTATGTTTAATAAAAAAAATTGTGTTAAATCTATCTTGTTAATATAATATTATTTTAAAATATTTAACAGAATTATTTTTTGTTACCTTGTATTTTTTAATACTTTATAACGTTTTAGATTACCTTTCTAGACTTAACTTCTACATTGTGGTACTCTTTGTAAAGTTTTGTAATTTAAAAGCTCCACATGATTTTTATAGAATAGCATCAATATTGTCTTAAATAACATGTATTCTTCATTTGACTACAAAAGTTATAACATAATTTTAAATTAAACAGAAAAATATATATATGATTATAAATGCATTGTATATATGCTAATGGACCTTTTATTTATTCAAACTTAGTGTACCTACAAGACAATTGAATCTTTTAATACTTGAAAATTCTATATGATGCTTACAATTAATTTATGCACTAATAAAGCTTGGATTATACTTGCAAATGAGATAGTATCAACTATTCCAAATAAAACCAAACACAAACTACTTTTTTTATATACTATCACTACTCACATCTAACATACTTCTTATTAGTAATAAATTATAAATTATAAATTAATAAATAAAATTTTCACATGGGTTGCTAAAAAAAAAAAGAAAGAAAGAAAGAAAAAAGAGCATTGAAAGAACACAACCTTGGAAAGTACAAAGCATTAAATAGTATGCAACAAAGCACACACTATTGCACCCTCAAAAAAAATAAAAAGAAAAAAAAAAGGAAGGAGTAAAAGAACAACAACGATTGGGGCAAGGAGGGGGAGGATGGCGCGAGAAAGGGAAGCGGGTCGAGAGTCGGGGAAGAAGCGACGGGTGTGTGCGAGAGATTATGCGACGCGATGCGATGCTCCAGTTGGGCGAGGGAGAGGGAGAAAAAGTTGTTGCGAAGAAGGGGATGATCGCGGCACTCACAACTGTGGAAGCGAAGGGAAGGGGAAGAGGAAGGGAGAGAGCCAAGTCCATCGTTGACAACAGGAGAGAGACACAAAATCCGGAAGGAGCATAATAATCTTCTTCATCAGCAGCAGCAGCAGGGTTCGGGTGCGAGTCAGTGATGGTCGTCGACGTTGTCGTCGGGGAGCGAGTGCCATACCCGTATGATGCTGATGATGGCGTAGTAACAGCGTGGCCATAAAACCAGTTTCAGAAAACTCGTCTCATGGCACCACCGGGTGGCGTGTCCGACAGAGCCTCGTCGTTGTTGCTCGTTGGAGGTGGTGGTACTTTAGGGTTGTTGCAATATGACAGTGCAAAGCTTGCGTCGTGGTAGCCAGGGGGGGGAGAGCTGCGGGGCTCGGGAGGAGTGTGTCGTGCTGTGGTGGTGGTCCGATGGGGAGGAAATGGTGCTGCTGGTGCGCTTGTCAGCGTGTGAGGCTGTTGAGGCGTGTGAGGTTAGTATACGAGGGCGTGAGTTAGCGAGGACGTGAGGCTGAGGAGGAGTTAGGGGAGATGACGCGCAGGTCTGCGAAGGAAATGAACGAAGGAGTCTGGCGTGGGAATGTTCTGTACTCGATTGTTTGCCTCATCTCGCTTTTGTGTCAGTTCCAGCGTCTTAGGGTTGGCGAGGGTTTGAGCGACGATGGCCTGGCGCTCCTTGCGGTGAAGCGAAGCATTACCGTGGACCCGTTTCGTGTGTTGGCGAACTGGAATGAGAAGGATGCGGATCCCTGCTCTTGGTGCGGTGTTACGTGCAGTGAGTCCAGGCGGGTGCTAGCGTTGAATTTTTCCGGATTAGGGTTGGTGAGTCCTCCAAGGAATGGAGGTGAGTGCAAGCATGACGATGCTACGTTTCCACAAACGCCTTTGCCATGCCAACAACAGGATGCGTCTCAACAGGCGATGGCAAGATGCTCTAGGTCAGGATTGTCGGGGAATGATATCGGCGATGGTTCTGGTAGTTGTGTAAGTGCTCTGGATCGACCGTCCTCTCCAATTTGCTTTCGGAACGGGACTGTTGTTGATGCGTCGTCGGGGTTGCAGGGAGAAGTGCCTTGTCTATTGTACGGCGTCTTGGCTCGGGAGATTGGAAACCTCTCGGAACTGGTAGTTCTATCCTTACCTTACAATGGCTTCTCTGGGGAAGTTCCAAGAGAGGTCGGTAATTTGAAGCACCTTGAGACACTCGACTTGGAAGCAAATAGTTTTTCAGGCATTATTCCCACTGAAATCGGCCAGCTCTCTGAGCTTCGCGTTTTGAATCTTGCGAATAATTTATTGCAGGGAAGTATTCCTGCAGAGTTATCAGGGTCCACCAGCCTTTGTTTCTTGAGTCTTGCAGGAAATACACTTCGAGGTAGGATACCTCCTTCTGTCGGGACTCTCAATACCCTGCAATGGCTGTCTCTTTCTTCCAACCTGTTAGACGGTGAAATTCCCCCTCAGCTTGGAGGTGGCTGCGACTGCCTAGTCCATTTGGACTTGGCAAACAACTATTTTACTGGTCCCATCCCATCCGAGCTCGCCAATTGTAAGCAGCTACAGTCGCTTCTCCTGAACGCCAACTCCCTTGTCGGCTCAATACCGCCTGATTTGGGGAGGTTATCGAAGTTACAAAATCTTCACTTGGCTTTGAATAAACTATCAGGTGTTCTTCCCCCGGCTTTAGGGAACTGCAATGAGCTCTCTACTCTCGTGCTTACAGCCTCTCAAGGATGCTCTTATGGTCTGAACTCCTCTGGGATGCCTCATTTCGTTGACACCCACAGACGTGAACGCAATCTGTTTAGCGGATCTTTCCCTTCTCAATTCGCCCTCCTTCCAAGGATTCAGGTCATCTGGGGGCCTGGTTGCGGTTTAAGTGGTGTACTACCAGCTGACTGGGGTTTATGTTGCGCCTTGGAGATTCTCAATTTGGCCAAAAATTCCCTCACTGGGCCGATTCCCGTCGGTTTGGGCAATTGCAAAAGTCTGGTTGTGCTCGATCTTAGCTCTAACCAGTTAAGTGGCACAATCTCTCCGGAGCTCCCTATATCTTGCCTCGTCATTTTAAATGTGAGTTCCAATGCCCTGATCGGAAACATATCAGCTGTAGATACGGTATGCAGCAATCCTTGGCTTCTTTCTGTCAATGGTAACACTTATTTCAAGCCATTGACTTGCTATGGGGTGCCCGTGTTGGGGCCTGCAAGCGTACGCTATGTGAGTCGGAAAGAGTCGGAAATTGTATACGTTGTACACGATTTTAGTAGTAATTCCCTGACAGGCCCTATTCCAGTTTCATTGGTGGGAAGCACGTTGATGAAGAAGCAGACTGGCTACGTGCTCATCCTTTCCAACAATCAGTTCAGCGGCAGTTTTCCTGATAATTTCTTTAGTTTGTGCAAAGGTTTTCAGGAGTTTGCAGTTAATTTGAGCTCTAATCAATTGCTGGGGGAGCTTCCTTTGGAGGTTGGCGAGTGTGAGACTTTGTGGTACTTAGACGTGGCAGGAAACCAGTTGACTGGATCCATTCCAGTGAGCACAGGAACACTTACCAATCTTGTGATTTTGAACCTGTCTCATAATCAGCTGCGTGGCGAGATTCCCTGGCAGTTAGGAGAACTCCCCAACTTGGAGGTCTTGTTTCTCGACAACAATCGTATCTTAGGGTCAATACCACCATCTCTGGGAAACTTGTCGAGACTTGTCATGCTGGATTTGTCCTTCAATCACTTGAATGGCAACATTCCGAAGGGGCTAGCGAACTTGAGTCAGCTCAAATCTCTACTTTTGAATCACAATAGCTTGTCAGGCTCGATACCTAAGGAGTTGAGCAGTCTTACCGCCTTAGAGCAGTTGAACCTTTCATTCAACAATCTCTCCGGCCAGTTTCCGATACTTGGCAACTGGGGAGGGTTTTGCAGTAGTTTAGTGGTGATGGGAAATCCGTTTCTTCTGCCTTGTAGAGTTGCTACCGCACCCATGTCCATGCCGATCTTGGCGGATCCGGACATGCCTCGGAATTCGTCCCCAGAGTCAAGCTCGACATCGCCAGATCATAAAGAAGAAGGTTCAAGACCTCGCTTTAACTCCATTGTAGTCGCTGCTATCACCTCTGGATGTGCCATTGGTGTCGTGCTTCTTGTACTTGGTCTTCTTTTCCAGTGCACCAAGCAGCAGTACCCAAGACTGCAACAAGAAGGTCGAAAAGTGGTGGTTACGTTCACCAGCACCAACATAAACTTCCAGCTGACGTACGATAAACTGGTCCGTGCAACCAACTACTTTTGTTTGGACAATTTGATTGGCACAGGGGGATTTGGAGCTACTTATAAAGCTGAGTTGCGACCGGGATTGGTGGTTGCTGTAAAGAGGCTTGCAATCGGTAGGTTCCAAGGTATACAACAGTTCGATACTGAGATTCGTACGCTTGGAAGGATCAGGCATCCAAATTTAGTGACACTAATTGGTTACCACGCAAGTGAGGACGAGATGTTTCTCATCTACAATTACTTTCCTGAAGGCAATCTTGAAACGCTAATTCATAGTGAAAGAGGACGACGGATGAATTGGGACATGCGGTACAGAATTGCTCTGGACTTGGCTCTTGCATTGGCGTACCTTCACGATGAATGCGTCCCTCGGGTTTTGCATAGAGACATCAAACCTAACAATGTTCTTTTGGACCATAACCTGATTGCACACCTCTCCGATTTTGGGTTGGCTCGTCTTCTAGGAGACACCGAAACACATGCTACAACGGATGTAGCAGGCACGTTCGGCTATGTTGCACCTGAATATGCCATGACATGTCGTCTCTCTGATAAAGCTGATGTCTACAGTTATGGGGTGCTCCTGCTTGAGCTTCTATCTGGAAGAAGAGTTAGTGGAGATCCAACGTTTTCCAGTTATGGGGATGGATTCAATATTGTCGGATGGGCAACCCTTCTCTTACATAAGCGACGACCACAGGAATTCTTTAGTGCTGGACTTTGGCAAGCTGGACCGGAGAGAGATCTTCTGAACGTGCTGCATCTGGCTGTGGAGTGCACAGAGGAGTCTATGTCTCAAAGACCGCCTATGCGGCAGGTCGTAGAGCGTTTAAAATTGTGTCGCCCCTACCCCTCCCAGCTCATGCCACTGTAATCAATTCGTCCATCGATAAGATGGTGACAGTTTCTTGGTCGCTCATTGACCGCAGTTTTGAAGAGTTCAGGCTGCATCATTGGCTGACTCTTGCTTTGAAGAAGGTATCATTCTATGTTTTAGCTATGAGTGTCCCTTCACAGAGACAGGTATTTCTGTACAATTTACATAATTAAATTCGTTGGATCTCTTTTCTCATGCTGTTAAAGAAGGGAGACAATCTCTCTCTCTCTCTGTCTCTCTCAAACTGTATTAATCTTGTCGTCTTGGTATGACCCCACGCGCATGTAGTCAAAGCTGCATGAAATACTTTTCAGTCAAGAGAAATGTTGGCTGGAATGACCTCAAGTAGCGTGTCTGCGTTGAAATGAGGGGCTTTAGTATCTTTACAAGCAATCTCTGGTGATTCTTTCTTTCAGTCTTCAACCTCTGTAGTATGGAAACATAGAAAGAGTTGCACTGGTTCTGATTACAAAATTGTGGGCGATGATTGATCGCTTTGAGGAAAGAGATAAAGTGGTAAGTGGAATCCTTGTCACACTTGAGAAGTTCATGGCTCCAACAACTATATTTTTGTAGTATTCATGCCGCCCCAAACGCTTTTGCTACTAATTCCTTCGTGTAAAGAAGGGATTAGTAGCCCCGGGCTAATGAAGATGGGTTCTAGAGTTCTACAACGTGAAGAAAGATTAAATGTAGCTCCTCTTTTATTCTTTTCAGTTTTGCTTCTCCGAGGAAGGAACTGTACGCAAAACTGATATTAATTTTTACTCGTATTTTTTTTTAGTAGGTTTTGACCTATTTTAATTCCGTAAATGAAACAAAAATCATTCATTTGTTCAGCCTTACAGAAATAGTTATTCTGAAATGACAATGAAAATTTAAAATAAATAATTTTCATAGATTTGGGGATGAGTGAAAGTGCATGCATCTAAAGATGGTAGAAATGCTCTGGTCAATAGCATCAAATATTTACAGAGACATAGTAAACTATTTCATTTTTCTCTGAATTGTGTGTTTTGATATATTTATTCAGGGCACAAATCTTGAAGTTGATATAATTTTGTGCTGATAACTATGCATGAGATGGATTCAATTCTAAGTACCACAGAATAAATGACCACACCACTTAGAAAATGGTTTAGGAGCCATGGTTTTGAAACATTCTACATTTTTTTATTGTTGTATACTGAGCATACTATAATTAATTTAAACTTTGAAGTGAAAAAATAAAAAAAAAATAACTGAAGTCTGTAAACATGATTGTTGATTTACTGCATTCTAATATTAAAAGCCAAAAAAGTTACTCACTTACATTTTGTTATTGTGGACATATTTAATACTAATTTAGATACTACCACTTTACATCAAAATTTATTTTAATATATATGATTTACAAAGTCCTCTCCTTGGGAATAATAGAATATTATGCAAATGATATTAGTAAATTTTAAAAAATAAAATAAATTAAAAATGAATTTTTTTGTCCCATTTATAATATTACAATATTTTAACAATAAAAAATTTAGCCATTATAAAAATAGGTTACTACAATAATATCTACAATAAAAATAATAAAAAATAATATAGAAAAAAACGTATTTTACATCAATTCTATGTAGTAGAAATAGAAACTATAGATTAGGTGGTCAAATATTCTACAAGAATAAATTTGTACATGCTACATTAAGAAATGATATCCTTTCAATAATGTATTTGGTGTTTTTAGATTTTACAATCACATGGAAAGGACATGGTCTCTATTGAGAGCATTAAATATAACCGATGCTTTTCATAATATTTACTATAGTTTATAGTAAATATTGTAGCTACAGTGTTTGGAATGTAGTGGGGAGAAACTATTTATCTTCTCTCCTTCTCTTTGTATATGTGAAATAACCACATCAATATATTCTCTTATATATATATGTGTGTGTATGTCTTTTGTATGTGTGTGCATATTACTTTTAGCTACTCTTATATCTCTCTCTGAAACATTCTCAATACATTATTGCCACAATTGCTCTTATGCACTAGTCATGGTTCTTAAAAACTTATGTGCATTTTATTCTTCGTTTTTTCTTTGTTTTTTTTTCTTTTCTTTTCTTAACTGTATTGCTATTGTTGCTAGGCTGTACTATATTGTTGCTATGCTCCTATGCTGTGCTTCTATACTGTTATTGTGTTGTATTGTTGTATTGTTACTATGCTGCTGTTGTACTATGTTGCATCGCGTTCTACCACTGATTGCTAGATACTCCACCCAAACTGCCGCACCTTACTGTCGTCTAGTGCATCTTATCAGCAACTACTGCACCCTATTGGAATCCACCACAAACCCTTATTTTTGTGGAAAAAAAAAATAAATAAATAAAAAATCTCTTCAAATTTTTAATATTTTTGATTTCAAGTTTTAATTTTATCATTTTATTTGGCTTTACATTTTAAAATGCATTTTACTCAACCTTTTCGACTTGATCTTGTATTTTTGTTCACAAATTTATTTATAATGAATACTTCAACATCTTCAACTGCCTCTACTATATTTCCAACTATCACCACTGCATTCCAACATTTTCAAGCTCTTTTATTTCCACTACTAGCTGCTGATGGAAAAAATTATCTATTATGTGAAAAAATAGCAAAAGTAAATTTATTTACAAAACAATTCTTGGATGCAATTTTGTTTGAAAAATCTCCTAATGTAAGTACTTCACTTCTTCTTGCTATCTATTGGAAAGTATTTCTTTTTCTTTTTCATCATCTTGTACATGCATTACAGTGTTAATATTTGGAAATGGAAGATCTAGCTAAGCTTTGGGAGAATCTTAAATCAAGGTTTGATCATCAAAAGACCATTTTCCTTCTATAAGCATGTCATGATTGGACACATTTACATGTCTTGGATTTTTCAAATTTAAATACTTTCAATAGTAAAATGTGTCATATTGTCTCACAACTATGGTTATGTTGACAAAGCATCTCTAAAAAGAAATGATTGAGACAACTCTCTCTACATTTCCTCCCGTATTTGCTGTGCTTGTATAACAATATAGGAATATGAAATCTTAGAATTATTCTAATATCATATCCTATCTACTTCTTATGGAAAAACAAAACGTGCTATTCTTGCATAATATAAAAGCTCATCTTATTGGAACCACGGTTCCATAATCTCATGTATTTAATATTTCAAAGTCTAAAAAAAAATTATACAAACATGGAAAAAGTATTCATAAGCACCAAGTTGGTCATGGTTGTGACCATTTCCACCCATATAGAAAGAATAAACATTCTACAACTAATTACAATGAAAAACAAAAATCAAAGATGCATTCTTGTCATAAATGTGGAATAATTGGATATTTGGCACATGCATGCCGTATTTTAAAATACTTTGTTAAAATATTTCAAAAAAATAAGAAACTTTGAGCTAAGGCTTGTAAAGTTCATATCATAGATGTGTCTATGGACTCAATTGGTGTTGATGATTTAGAAGCTTATATGAATGACAAAACCTCTAATGATAAGTCAAATGATGCACTTATTGATTTTGCAACAACATATACTATCTTGCAAGATAGACAATATTTTACTAAAAAATCTCCAATTTGGCAAACTAAAAATTTGATGAGTATGGGTGGAACAAATGTATTTCATTTCCAAGAGAGAACAGTGATGGTAAAATTACTTGTGGATTCCATCATAAAAAATAAACATGTAATTTTTGTATCCTTAATACCTCAGAGTTTGATCAGCTACCGAAATGTGTATGCCAATGGTTATTACCTCTCAACCATAATTTTAGATAAAGGAGAGATTTTGGTTTTTGCACAAAACTATAAAGTTGTAAAAAAAACCTTTATTACAATAAATGGTTTATACTAGATTACAATCCTGCCTTCTATTATATTTAATTTTGCATCATCTATTACAAAGAGTTGCGTTTCTCTCTTGCATAGACGATTGGGACATCTACAATCTACATTATTTTGAAAGTTAATTCCATGTATAACTAGATATAATTTAAGACATACAAATGTAATTTTTATGGAATTATATATATATATATATATATATATATATAAAAGATAAGATAAGATGATTCTTTGGCCTTTAATTTAAAAACTCCTATAAGAGTTACTACCAATGCTTGAAAGATTGCATGCTGATATTTGTGGTCTTATCAATCCAATATCTGGACCATTTTGTTATTTTTTGGTCTTTATTGATGCATCAAGAAAATAACCAAATATTTCATTATTATCAATCCAAAACATGGTATTTGCCAATGTTATATCTATACTTATTTTTTTCCAAGCACATTTTCTTAAATATCCTATCAAAACATTGTATATAAATAATGCAAAAAAAATTACATCAAAATCTTTTAAAGATTATTGTACTGCAACACGGATTGAATTGACATATTGTGTTCCATATGAACATGCTTAAAATGGACTTGTAAAGTTATTTATAAAGTGTATACAATTCATTATCTGGTCAATCTTTCTTCAGATAAATTTACATGCATCTATGTGAAATTATGCAATTTTACATGCTGTAGCATTAATATGCCTTCATCCTTCTTCAACTAATATATCTCAAGTTAAAACATCAAAAATTAAAAGGATTCATGGACCAGATAAGCAACCACAAAAGAAAAAGACTATAGTATGTGGTGATTTTAGTATTATCTTTATGGAAGTTCCTACTAAACCTATGGGACTATCAATTAATGATGATATGTCCATGAAAATTATACCTTCACCTCATGCAATAGAAAATCTTAAATTTAGGAAGAATAAAATCAAGTTGAGTATAAAATTATTTGTTCTATATTGTATTACAAATGACATGTGGGATAGACTATTTATTATGATAGATAAATCATTTGTATTCATGATTACAAAAGCTCTCTCTTACAAGAAAGAAGATCCTCAACCTCAAACCATTTAGAAAGTGATGTATCTCACAAATGGTAGGATTTTTCTCTACCAACTAATGTATATTAGACAAAGCTTATAGAAATTCAATATGATTGATGCTTATCTATTGTCAACATCAACGATTGGATATAGTCATGATGGTCATGGTTCATATTGTCCATACAAAGAAGAAGAAGAAATATTGGGAGATCAATATCCATATCTTGTAGCGATTGGAATACTTTTATATTTAGCCACATTTAGAAGACCAGATATTACATTTGTAGTTAGTGTTTTTGCAAGACACAGTGCACGTCTAATACTATGACATTGGAATGGCATCAAACATTTATTATGTTATTTAAAACGCACTAAAGATTTGGGATTATACTACATTTAATTTGTAGATTCAAAATTAGTTGGATATTTTGATGGAGGATATAAATCTGATATTGCAACAACTAAATCTCAAACACTCTATGTATTCTTAAGACATGGAGCTGCAATATCATGGAAATCAGTGAAACAAACTATAACTGCAACTTTATCCAACCATGTAGAAATTATTGCCTTATATGAAGCATCTTGGAAATGTATTTGATTGCAATCAATTGATAAACTCATTTAGACAATATGTGGACTTTCATATGATGATTCTTCAACTATTTTGTATGAAGACAATAGCGCTTGTATTGCACAGATGTAAATTGGTTTCATTAAAGACAATAGGACAAAGCACATTGATCCAAAGTATTTTAGTTTTTCCTATGATTTGATTACTGATCAAGTACTTAAGGTCAAGAAAATTGAATTTGAAAATAACCTTGTTGATTTCCTCACCAAAGCTCTTCGTTTGTACAACCATCAGTGACTTACTTATGGCATTGGTATGCAGCAACTTACTTTTTTTAAGCAAGAAAGTTAATAAAGTCTTAAAATAATATTATGTTCTTTTTCCTTCATCTATACTTTTGTCCTTGAATACAATAAGGTTTTCTTAGATAAGGTTTTAATGAGGCAACAACTATTGATCTTACAAGATTATAGATAAGTATAGATCATAATTCTATGCATATTTTATGTTATATAAATATTATTAAAAGCATTAAATATAGCCGGAGCTTTCTATAATATTTGCTATAGTTTACAATAAATATTATAGCTATGCTATTTGGAATATAATGGAGAGAAATTGTTTATCTTCTCCTCTCCTCTTTGTATATGTGAGATAACCACATCAATATACTCTCTCTTGTGTGTGTGTGTATTTTGTAAGTGGGCATATTACTTCTAGCTACTGTTGTGTCTCTTTCTAAAACATTCTCAACAATCTCTACACCTTTATAGGTGATGTATAGAAGCCTACTAGTAGACTAGGTGCTTTACTACTAAAACAAAAACTTATAATAAAGAAATAAAAATAAATAAATAAATAAAATCTTAAGAGAAGATAAAAAAATAAAAAGTAAAAAATAAAAAACCTAATTATTATTATTTTTAATTTTTAATTTTTTTTTGCATACAAGAGATTTAATATAACGTTTGCATGGAAACATGCAAAAGTAGAACTTACTAATCTAAATTTAAGACAGATGAATAATTCATTATCAGTACTAAAGTACAGGTTCTCATTAAGATTATTTTGTCATTGAATTCTTGTCAAAACACTTCGACTACCTTAGCTAGTCTTTTCCATGCATAATAATACTATTCCAAATTATTTTTATTTAATCAATAGTAATTACACAACTTGTTTAAAAACAAACTCTAAATCAGTATAAATATAACTACTACTCGGGACTTATGATTACACGCAAACCACCAACCGAGCCCATCTCTATCTGTGGTAATTATTTTTAGTTTAGTTCGGAGTTTTAACTTATTTAAACTGGTTGTCTTGTATTTAAAATCCATGAATTAATTATTTTCTCCGTTACATGTGTTCACAACTAAATTTTGAAAATCCACAAGAATGTGGGATCAGCAGTCGGGTGTGATCCTGTGTACGGGTTTCATTCGTGTCGAAAGTTACTACTATTAGTCTTGATTTGGTGTCCGTCCATACCAATGCAGTTTATCATTTATTTCGTTCGTTGTAATTTCATTTTATATTTGTATAGAAATTGTGAAAACTTTTAGCCTAAAATTCCTCAAAATATGCATGCTGAAAGTCAGCCAGGTCTGTAAAACATTGAAGAATCCAACACAGAGGTATTCAAGTCCATGCGCAAAGAGTTGAGAAAACTGCTTTTCTGATACAATGAAATGATTCTCAGGCTGAAACTGTATTAACACTTCTGTAATACTTCATGTACTGAAACACTGAAATGAAATAAAAACTCACAACCACAGTTGGTTGTGAACTTTCGAATGATTTGCACAGTTGACTGCATGAAGTCTAAAATGCTGAACACGATGTTCATGATAGAACTACCTCCTTGTGTGCTTTTCCGAACCTACACTATCTGAGCGGCTGTATTAAGCTTCTCTGCCAATATAAGTTGAGTTTTGGTAAGATTTGCCAGGTACAACACCAACAAAAGATCCTGCATAGAAACACACACCATGCAAATGTCATTAATATTGCCGAAAGATGGCATCAAGGATGCAAAATACCCAGTGTGCACACAGGTGACCCAGCAATTTCTCTTCCTAGCTGTCAGTAGAGAACTCGAAAGCTTCATGAGTAGTGGAAAGGTTTTCAAAAAATAAAAATAATCATCTTGGTGGTTCATAAGGAATCTAATTAGTCATCCACACAAAAATCGAACAAATACAGCAGCGAGAGATGGTATGAACAATGAGGTTGTGAAAGTTTCTTTCCCTATTGAACCTCCAATACCAAACTTCAGTTTTAAACAGATAAGTGGATGCGAGAAATTTTGTATCCTAATCTTCCTTCGAGTACAGAACCGAGAGACTACCTGAACGCTGTCGTTAAAGAGCTTGTCAAAAGCATCAGACGAAATTCTTGGAACTGACGCCATTGTATCAGCAAGGAACCTGCCTACAGAGTTATCAGGTTGAACTTGCCCTTCCTTCATTTACAGCGTAACAATACTATCAGCATCTTCGAAAACATCGTCAGAAATAAAATAAAATTCAACGCAGATAACAGTGAACAAGTGCATTCAACGGTCGCCTGCGCAACCAAAGCACATCACAAGCAATGACATAGAAAAATGGGTTTTGACCGCTTTACCACAACATCGTCCACATATCTGAAAACTCTATCAATCATATCTTGCAGCCTTTCAATGGTCGCTTCCAATCCTTCTAGATCATTCGGCAACTTCTCCACCATTGTCTTCTTCAGGACATCAACTGTGAGGAAAAATGAAAGACACTTAGAATTTCAAAATTCAGAACTGCCATTTTGAAAAAGTCAAAAATTAAAGAGAACTCGCACGGGACCCAGAACATCAAGACTTGGGGCATTCTCACATAACAAATAAATTTCAACAATTGGAGTGGAAAATATACATAACATATGTGCTTACACCCTATTCTCTCAGCCTCAATCAGGCGCAGGTCAAGCTGGACCTCGTGAAATTGGGCAGCAAGCTGGCGTTCTCCAAGGGTAAGAAGAGTAGATACGAAGACCTTAATGTTGACCTTCTCCTCGGCAAAGGCAGTATCCACAGTGAGTAGCACAGGGTTGGCTACTTCTCTACCATAGAAGTCGTGAATAAGAGTGTCACTGGGGCTCAAACTAGAACCTGTTGAGTACCTGCAAATAACAATGAATAAACAGTCGTTTACCCCAATACAGGACGAAGTATGCTGCTTATGCCTAAATAGCACCAAATCCAGCTGATGGCAGAAATGAGAAGACAACCATTGATCTTGAACAGGTATAGTTTAGACCACGGTGTCAGACGTACGTGTAAATCCTCTTTGGGAACTAATGTTTGTGAAAAGTTGTTTACGCATTAACAATGACTTACCAACCAACGATAATTTCTTTGTGATTAACGCGCTGGTGCAGTTCGAACATAGTGCGGTGATAATCAATGTCCACTGCAACCTTCACATCGCAATAAACAAAACAAAACTTGATGAAATCTGAGTAAAATTCTAAAGAAGTGTGAGTGGATACACGTCTCTCAGCCTCGTGAAACTTGGAATAAAACTGTGAACCATTACCATCTAACGCATTGGGAAAGGAACCAAATAACGTGTCTTCAAACTCCAGAGCACTAATCCTCCACAACATTCATAACTTTCAGTCAATGATCAAGCCAAGCTTCGAAATTTACAAAAGAATTCCGTAACTCTTCCACTCCCAAATACTCTGCATCTCAACTGATTTCCAATAGGTCTAAATTACGATACATGCCCACTCATAAACCAACAGGTCATAAGTTGTGAAAACACGGACAACCTCGCTGAAACTCCAATGGTCGATGCACAATCCCAAAAAAATGATCAAGGTTAAGCCGCTCACCCAGCAGCATTACGGGATAGAGCTTCTGCTATTTTAGGTTATTTCGTGATTGCAGAATGGGGTAGGGTGCGTGGGCTTATTAGGGCGGTTTTGAATTCTTCTACAGCAGTGATGGTTAGTTACAATGACGTGGGTTGGAGAAGACAGGTTGGACCCTGAACCGAATACGAGCAGAACTTCACCGACACCGGCTATCGAAGGCCAACCAAAGAAGAAGCCAAACGAACTCACTCACCTGATCAGCTTGCTCGCTGTGCGGCACGGCGTACGAGTTCCGAATCTCTACGGTGCCGTCCGGGGAGATGGACCCGAGCAAGGTTCCGATGACGCGCTCCTGCTGGTCGTTACGGCGGATATACGAGTCGGAGATGTTAAAGAGCACGGTCGGGTGGAGCTTCGCGACCACGCCAGTGTGGCCCGACGGCATGTGCAGCACAGTCCGCCCCATAGCCATTGGGAATGGAGCTCCGGGCGGTCCTGAAACGTAAGGGGAAGCTTGCGCTAGGGCTGGCTCGATCGTGAAAAGCTTCGGTCCACACACTTGAGCTCCGGACACAAGGAAACTCACAGACTCACACAGACTCACTCACTCACACACTCACAGACACGGACAATTCCTAACCTAGCTTCTTGGCTTACTCGCGCTCCCACACCTAAAACCTCGACCAGGCTCGGTTCCGTCGTCTCGGCTCGGTTTGAACGAATGTCGTCGTGCGCCACTTGGATGAAACCTTCTTGGATGGATGCAACCAGTCGTTGTAAAGTAAACAGTAAATGTAGTGTATGCACCAAAATGTAGTGTTAGTACCAAAATGAAAGACATGAATGATGTGATTTTTTAAGGAGGGGAGTGTTCGCAGGAGATGTAATTTTTCTCAAATGGGTTAAATTATGGGTTAAACAGATTTTTTATAATTTATTGAATGAAAAACACATCAATTAATTCTGTGTTGAGAGCCAAGGAATCATAGGAATATTCTTTAAAGTGTAGATAGAGATTTTGAAGCATTTATTGGAGGGGTGATGATTGAAATAGTGTTCAAACATGAGACTTGCATAGATACGTGTGTGTGTGTGTGTGTGTGTGCATGTGTAAAAATATAAGAATTGACATACTTTGTTAGTCTGATACTTTTTCCAATCATTCACTACTTATTATTCATTTTTTTTAAGGTTGTTTTTGTTGGATTGTGTGCATGAATAAATATATAAGTTATAGTAATTTTCTGCCATATTAATAAAAATATAAAACTCTATTATTTTCAGTTCAACTTTGTCACTTAAAAAGTTTTCTTTTTATTTATAGCATTTTCAAACTCAACAATTAACCTACACTGATTTTATTTTTAAAAACTGCATGAGGTTTAAATTTAGACATACGAAACATATTTTGATTATTTTACTGTGTTGTAAATATTTTAATTTTATCATATGCTGTCAGAGGTGTTTTTTCTGTCTCAATTTTTTGAAGAATTGTAGATAAAAACAAAAATATATGATACTTATGCATAACCATGTGCATATTATATCACTGTACTTATTTGAACAATTTTAACATGGTCTTCAAATTTTCATAGTTAAGGACAACGTGAATTCGTTTTGAGATAACTATACAATGTCATCGTGGTGCATATTATGTATTTGAAGTTTTTATAAATATGGATGAGAATAACTTTACTGCACAACATTCTTTACCTGAAGACTAGTAAGGAATAATGGGCTTCAGCTTTACTCTACGTGAAAAGAACATGAACTTCACATTCACTTCCTCACATGTAAGCTCTGGTTAGGATGAACTTCCTTTGCTACAATCTAATAGAAATGACAATAGGTTAATTTACACTGAAATCTGCAAAGATGCAATGAAAGGCAAATAATCAGGTCCCAGCAAGATATACATCACAAACCTTAAGATTGTTGTATGATTGATTGTGTGTAGCTCGATTTTTGAGGTTTCAGTAAAGATGCTATAGTCTGCAGAAGGATGACCATGTTCCATCCTCCCTTTTCCATTTCCTGGAGATAGAGAGAATAGAAACTAGACCACATAGCATATAATGAACAGTCTCAGCATACCTAGGGACTTGAACTTCCCCTGACAAGTGCTCCAGCACCACTTCTCACTACCCAACAATGTGCATTTCTTACAAGTATTCCCAGGATTGAAATATCCTTTCAGAAATCTTGAAGAATGCAGAAAAGTAAACCCAACAGTAAAACTAATAAATAAAAGTTTGAAGGTCGTTCGGCTTCAAACGATTTCGTCTAAAATGTGCTTCCTTCCGAAGGTGTTGCAATTTTCGATTAGCTGGACTTGCCATCTCTTTCTTAAGGTCAATCAAAATGTCTTCCATTGTGTACTGGCGGCGCCAGTTTGCAAGCATTGGAAAATATTTTGGCTCCACCTGTGATATGTGACGGGCGTTGAATCAGCTTCATGTACATGAGCATTACTTCGCATACAAGAAATAATACATTGAAATCCACAATTGCAACTTCAGGGAGCCAATTTTACATGGTAAGTTAAGGGTTAAATGAAAATGCACCTACGAATTCAGTTAGTAGCTTACCACTCCCGTCTCTGGATTGACATGAGTCATGTTGATTCGAGAGTGAAATCTCACAGTTGGAGGTTTGTCAGGGTAATCCTCGTCACAGAACAATTTCAAAGTGTAGATGCGACCCTCATGCACAGACTGCACCAGCAGTAACCAGAGATAATGTAAGAGTTAGAATCAACCTAGTTTCATCTTCACAGCATGCTTGGCCTTGACGCGGCACGCACACACACACAACACGTCTTGCAGCCATGAAACCTACCCTGATGTGAACAAAAATAATACAACGATTACGACTTCAGTATGCGGCTACGAACAACACTAGCTTGCATAGAATGAATAATAGTACCACAAAATGACAATATTCCTACTTGACATACTATGACAATCAGTGCCAGTACATAGTGGAACCCACTGGAGGTTGATCGGCAAATTGAAAATGCTAAACCACATCATCCAAGGTAGAAATTGAACGCAAACTGAAAAAAAGGCTATTGTTCAACAAAATTGTGAATATTCAACGCTGAACCGACAGACTACTAATCGTAAAGATAATTCCATTGTCTCAAAAACTCACGTGATTCGGTCCAATTATGGTTCCGGTCCAAGAGCGCATTAACACATCGTCACCGTCGTCCATGCCATAACTAACAGTCCCGTCTCCAATTCCTTTCTCACCCCTCTCAAGTTCTTCAAGAAGACGAAAGTCCCTTGGAACTGCAGATAACAATACACTATCAAGGGTAGGACTAAGGAATCACACAACACGCAAATGCAGCAGTTCTAGAAGAAACTACTCAAATTGTGGAAAGTTGGAATGACTACATGTGGATTTTCAGCCAGGTGATAAATACAATCATTTTCAAGGTCCGGAGCAAGGGCAGAAGCAAGAGTGTCGGATTAAGGGTATAAAACATGTACCAATTACAGAACCTTCAGTATTCATCTCAGTCTATCCCAGACGTGATTGTGGCGGCAATGATCCAATAGACCTGCGGCTCAACCGACTGTACCCATAAATACAACATACACGAGATGAGAGAAGTGTCTACAGAAAATTGATAGCTGGATACCATGTAAGAAAATCATAACCCAACAACAATCTCCCAGTGGTTTCTCCCCACCATTCAGAGCGATTAAGTATCCTCACCCCAGGGAACAATCAGGGCAAAAGCATGCAGCAAATACATCAACTCCAAGAGCAACACACGAACATAATTGCCTCACTACCCTATGGAATCACCTGGCAATCAGAACCGGCTAAATACATCAACTCAAGCTCCCGTACCTGGCGTACAGACACCCTTACGTGCAGTAGAGCATCGCAATAAAGGAATCTGCGAGACGACACCTTAAACACGACCATAAGAAAATTACGTGAAGGATGACGTCAGCGAATCGAGGGAGGGCAAGCGCAGACCACGACGAGGGATGAGGAAAAGCCTTCTCGAACGGATCGAACGGCACGGGTGGGACCGGGAGGGGGCTTCCCGGAAAAACACCCCGTCGACCCGGCCCGGCCCAAAGCCCAGAGCGTTTCGTTTTGTGAGCTTGGGGGCCGGGTACTTTCGGCCAGGCAGTGATTGAAGAATTGTCGCGACGAGGAAATGTCGCGCAGAGCTTGCGTTTCTTCTAGAATTGTCCATTTTCATGGATTCTCTGCGTCACAGGCTCTGGTGAGATGCTCCCTCTTTTAGGTCTGCCGCATTTTGATCTGCCTGTGAGTTGCCTCCGAGTTGTGAATTTCGTTTTTGACGTGTAGAAGTTGTTCCGGAGGTTATTCAGTTTTTCTTTTTTTTTCCGGAGAGAGCGAGAGAGAGAGAGGGATGTTAGTGTTGAGGTGTCTTCGAACATGACCTTGCATTTGTTAATCCGTGGTGTAGCGCTGTGGTTTTTGGGAGGTTTATAACAGTTTTTTGCGTTGAAGCGTCAATGAGTTTCCGTAGTAGGTGTGCTTTTCATCTCGTGCCAGCAGGTTTGGAAATGCTAAAAATGATCTTGTCCATGGAAAACTTGGACACGGATTTTTGTGCAGCGTAGGCGTATTTTCGTTGATTTAGGATTAGTTGCGTAAACGATTAGGGTTGGGATTTTTTTTTTTTTTTTTTTTTTTTTTTTTTTGTTTACTCCCTTGGTTATGCTTATTTCCACAGCACATGTGAGGTTTTTCGATGTCATCGCATGAGAATGTTTGTAGCTAACGAGGTTAAGGTTCTTAATTTTGTTGTATCACTGGTGATTATTTTTGCGATGTCAGATTTGACCTTATCATAGCAGGTTCGAAGTGTAGGTCGAGCATGTGTCGTTGTCCTTCTTGTTTGCGATTTTTTGCTCTCATTATTGGTCTTTTGTGTGTACGCACCGTGTTGGTTTGGGCTACACATTAAGTAATGTAAAATGATGGAGGCAATTTTGATCGTTGGTCTTAAATTCGATGATGTGCACACTAGTCTATTTTTACTAGCTCTCAATTTCCGCATGACTTTGTCCCCTGCCTCGCTTTCATTGTTGTCTTTCTTAAATTGAATATTGTGGGACTTTGTTTGACTGAATACACATGGCTACATTAAAATTGTTGCTGAATTGATTGTGTGCTGTAGGGATGTCGAAGTCTTTTTATCGTCAACCTTAATCGCATGAATTACTTAAATGCCTGTTGGGGCAGGACCTAAGGATTCATGATGTGCCCCTGCTGAAGATGAGCCCCCTCGAATAATAACCATCTGATTCTCTACCTCGAAGTATACATTGATTTCAATTTGTACACAAGTTCTCTTTTATTGAAGAGAACAAACCTTTGTGTAGAGCAAACCTCTGTCGCTTGAGGCAATGGAGGTCACAGAGGTCTCAGAGAAGCGTTTTGAGCGGGCGATGGAACGTCTCTTCTCAGGAAGTTCCACACCAGCTGCCAGGTATCTTTAATTTTTTTTACTACAATTCCTAAGCGGAACTTGATGCTTTCCCGCATTGCAGTATGCTTCTGAAAGTTGAGCTTGGTGCTCTAGTTTCAATGCAATGTGCTTTGCTAATCTGCTGGTTTCTGGATGGATGCTCCATCAAATTCAAGATTGTGTGCTCATGAATATCATAACGCTTGGTGATTCTTGAATGAGATAATAAGTCAGAATCATTGATGGTAAACAAGTTACAATATCACTTGTGTTTCAGCTTCTAATTTAGGAATGTCATAAGATTGACATGAACTTCCTTAAATAGCATTAAGGGTCTTTCAGGGATATCTGAAAAATATATATATTTTGCAGCTCTGCTCGAGTTCCTTCACCAGTCAAAGAAAAGAAAGAGGACGAGGAGAATACGAGTGGACGGGTTTTTCAAACTGCTGGGGTAGCAACACCATTATCAGGATCGCACGGATGTAGGCCGTGGGACCGTGGTGATCTCCTCCGTCGCCTTGCCACCTACAAATCCATCAGCTGGTTTGGGAAACCACAGGTAAAATCATTGGACAATTTGCACACGGAGGTCATATCTGTGATGAAGTGAGCGCATTTCTATTTCTGCAAAATTAATATCTGCATCATTCATCCTCAGAAGCTTGTGGTGGCTGGTGTTGTGATATGAAAGATTTGTATAACTCTTGATAGTATCAGACAGTAGGTCGAAAGCCTATCAAATGGTCGAAATGAATGGGTGTTGCTGTAATTGCAGGTTGCAGGGCCTGTGGCCTGTGCTAGGAGAGGATGGGTAAATGTGGATATCGACCTCCTTGCATGTGAAATCTGTGGTTCCCGGCTGAGCTTTCCTGTTTCCTCTTCCTGGTCACGCCACCAAGGTGAGCTGCATTCTTAGTCCTGCTCAATGTGAAATTAATTCTCTCCTCTTTTCTCCCAGTTCAAACCTGCTAAAGCTTAAAATCAGTTGTACATCCTACGAGACTAATTCTGAGATTCACTTGTTTTCCTCTCTATGTCACTGAATAGTGGAGCAAGCGGCACTCGTATTTGCCGAGAAACTTGACACTGCACACAAGGGTTTGTGTGCATGGAAAAATAATCCGTGTGCGGAAACACTCGCACACTTTCCACCCACCCCTGTGTCAGTCCTCAGGGGAGCTTACACTGACCGTTGTGAAGCCCTTCTTCAGTTATCTGCTCTTCCTGTGATCTCTGATGCTGCCAAATCTCTTATGAAGCTGTCCCGAGGACCTCAGGTTGATCAGTTACTCTCTGAGCTAAACCCTCCGAGTCCTGGATTCCTGGTTGGAAATGGTGCGAGTTCGAGCTCAACTGAAAATGAGATTTTCGCAAACAGCAAGGCTTATTACGAGGTGAGCACGACAGTGAGTGCTACTCCCTAGCACGATTGGAACTTCACTTTGTACGTGGAATATACGTGTCTTAGGTGTGCATCCTGCAAAGACCCAAGAGCTTCTTCTACGACATATGTATAGAGCTCTTTTTTTTACTGCGAATGACGTTCTTCTCAATTGTAGTCATTATTCTCAGTAGATCACTCACCTGATGTTTCTGGATTCCTTAAAGTCTTCCTTTGCGCTTTGATGTATAACAGGCTCAGCGAATGATTGCGGTTTGTGGTTGGGAGCCACGACTTTTACCTTATACCGTTGATTGTGAGGACCGCTCAGGAGCTCAGTCTATCCATGAACAGATTGGAACGTCGCATGGACCTGGACCAAGCGTCACAGTGCACATGCAAGGAGGCCAACAATCAAAGGTTGCGCAGGGACAAATCCAATCTACTGGTACTGATGTCTCTGACCCAGCATCTGCCGTGCTGGATTGCAATCTTTGTGGAGCCAGCGTGGGCCTCTGGAACTTTGCTACTTTGAATCGCCCCGCTCCGTTGTTGAACTCTGGCCTTGAAGAACTTTTTTCATCTAAGAATAGATCTTCAGGATCGAACCCAGTAAGAGATGATGCAGCTGGTGCTGTAGGTGGTCCTTTGTTGGCTAGTCCAGAAGCAGCAGAAATGGTTGATGCAAAACCTCCTGAAGTAGTGCCAGTTAATGTATTGGAGAGAGCTGCTCCTCCTAAGGGGGTGTTAGATTTGAAACTTACGATTGCAGGTGGACCTCCTCCTACTAGGCTTATTGCTCCAGCTTCGGTGCCACCGTCCTTTGGCATTCCTGGTTTGCCACATACTGTAATGCAGCCCAGGAAGATTGAAGCAATAACCTATGCAGCTGCGTCATACGAATCCCGAAGACCTGCGCATCAGGGAAGAGGACACAATGACACAGGAACGCCGACATATCATGTGGAAGGTGAAGTAATACAGAATAGGGAAATGAAAGATGCTGAGGAAAGCAAGGATGCAGAGTATTTTTCAAAGCGAAAACGGGAGAAGGGCAATGATGAATCCGAGGGCGTTTTTTCACCGAACACCAAGCGCAAGCGTGAAGTAGGTTCGCAGTGGCCAGGTTTTACAGTGAAGTTGCCTGCGCGTGATCTTCCTCATGCCTCTTCTGTCAATGCTATTGATACTTGCTATCCACCAAAGCAGGAGAATTCTATGGAGAGTGTGGATAATCTGCCTCTAGGAAGTGATGGCCAAGGCGCAAATACTGCGGAGTACCATGTGAATGGACCCGAGTCTAGGGTTCAGGCCGAACATAGCATGTCTCGTCAGGATGGCATTGATGCAGGTAAGAGCATATGTGGTGGAAGGGTTGAGGAGGGTGTACAGAATAATGTAGTGGTTATATGTCCCGGAGCGGGTATTAGTGGTAGTCATGAAACTGAAATCCAAGGTGTCGAAGCAAATCTGGAGCGGTCGGAGAGCGTTGCAGAGTTTGCGACTGACGTCATTGAGCTGATGGAAGAACATGTTTCTGGTCGTGGTTTGATGGATGAATTTATTCCCGAGGACACACTCAAAGCAATTGTCACAGATGATCATGAAGGCAGTCGACAAGCTATGCTTGGCATTAGTCACACATTTGTTAAGGACACTAGTTCAGCTGGAGTTTCCGAAAGATATCAAAGAAACGTTGCTCAACGGGATGCTGATGAAGATGCTAATGCAGGAAGCACTTTAGAGACAACTAATGCCATCATCCAAGGTGTTGACATGGTCGCAAATATTCAAGTCAAAGAAGTTACAGCTGGGCGTACGGTTGGAGAATCCCCTTCAGAGAGAAATGAAGAGGTTCAGAGTCATCCTTCCTTTCCACCAGGTGAAATTCATATACTTGTTAAAATAATTGGAGACTACGATCAAAGTCACCAGTTAATGAGCGCTCCACATGACAAATATGAACGGCAGATATTTTGGCAGAGTTGTCTCGAGTATTTTACATTACTGTAATTTAAAATTTCAAAAAAAGGTCGATACGCCCCAGTTTTTACGATTGCTGACGAGGTGAAGTTGGCATGGTTAGGTTTACTGTTAGATGATGTTAAAAAGCTAGAAATCCAGACGGGAGAATTTGATCCCATTCGGCAGCACAGACATTTTTGTCCCTGGGTAAACGCTCATGTTGCTGCAGCAACGAGTGGCACAGGGTCGAGTAAATTCTGTGGCTGGCAAATCGTGCTGGATGCTCTGCAGCCTCAGCCCCCATCTCCACATCAACAGCACCAGCACCAGCAAGGTTCCGTGGAATCAGAGTTTACAGGCTCCAAGTATAAGGTATTGGATAATATTCCAGTGATAAAGTTCTGTAAAATCTGATCTTGGATGTTCATCGGTTGCGTTGTTGTGCATTGACGTAGAGAGAGAGTTGGTTGTTAGTGATGAAAACTCGACAGTACTAATTGGTTTTAGTAACGTGTGGAGGTCGCATGGAAGTGGATTGTTGTTTGAGGATATTCGGGTGACTGCACGAGATCGGCTTAGCATTTTCATAGATTATGGTGATATGGTTATACGTAACGTTACAATGACTAAGTCTCTCTTATGGTTCACCTTATTCAGCTGTCATGATTATGAATGGTGAGGTGCAGGATGACCCGATTCTTTCAGTTCGAAAGTTACTAGGATCTGTTTCTTCGAATTATCTTCCAAGTTCTTAAGGGGATGGTGGAGGCAAGTTGGTATGTCGAGGCATTTCTCCTCTCGTTTTTGTCCTCGTTTCTGGCGTACCTGTGGAAATATCTATTTCTGCCTCGTTTGAGTTATGAGTAGCCAATATTGTTTCCGTTAAGAGTTTAGGGAGGCAGAAACTAGTCTTGTTCGTCTGAGAACTCGTAACTTTCAGTAAATTTGTAAGATCTTATCGTTGTACCGGGCGTTTGCATGCTTCTTCCAGTAATGAGGAGCAGAGCATGTGATTCCTACTGGAGATGATACATGATTGCATAGACGAGCTTACTCTAATTTGCGCTACGCCCAGTTGATAATTGACCAGTAGGTAGTGCTCACAGTTGTGATAACGATGCACATACTTCAATGCACTGGGGGATTGATGACCATTCATATTGTGAGCCTTGTCACTGATTCCTTCACTCTGGGTGTGCATTGCAATTTGTGATGAGTAAATTTGTAAAAGAATCTGCCTATCATAGAGTCTAAGTATGCCAACCATCGATTTACTTTGCTTGACAAAGAAAAATGATTAGGTCGTGGTACACAAATGGAGTTGTTGATGGTGTGGTGTATAATTGACAACTAGTAACAAGAGGGTATTGGTTTTCGTTAAATATTTCATATATGTCGTTTACATCCATTGAATTGATTCAATCATAACTTTTATGATTTAGAAGTAGGTGTGTTAAACCATTGTATGTTGAGAAAATGTGTGTTTTGAACATTTATGGAGTGAAATTTAAGATAAATAATAACAAACGGATGTGCCAAAAACAAATATAATTTGAAATGTGCTAACTAAGCGTTAAAAATATGAAGATATTTATTTAAGTTGTTCTGGATATTTGTGGGAATATTATTTAAACCCTGCATCTCAACTACTTTTCTAATGTGATGTTAGTGATCAACTTTGTTGTGAATGAAATGTATTTTCATTATGTTTTATTTTACATCGTTTTAATTGTTTTTATAAAAGAATTGTAAATTAAATTTATGTATTAAAATATAATATATGTAATATTTATAACCTTTTTACAAGTTAAAGAAAAATTCTCAGATATACAAAGTTATGTGTAGCAAAGTTGGTTATTTTGCATGGCTAAGGAGTAACTATTTTAAACTTGTGACTAACAAAGGTAAATATTATTTATAGATATTTATTAAATCAAAATCTTAGGTGAATCAAAGATTCTTATAGTATATAGTAAAGTTCTCACCTACCATGTACGCCATAATTTTTAATGTTTTTTTTCTCTTCTTTGAACTTTTAAAATAAATATACAAAGAAGAGTTATGCATTCACTTATTTCCCCTTGAACTTGGAGGCACCTAGTGAAGACAAAATTCTTTGACCAAATGTCATCTCATGGGTAAGAACCTACTTAGTGGCATTCATTTGCAATATACAAGTATAAGAATTAGTTTGTCAAAATAATTCTACAAGATTTTTTCTTATTTGGACATGCAGTTATGTTTTTTTTATTTTCATTGTTTACATTTAAACAAAAGTCTTATAAAAGAGAGTTCTACATAATTGTTGTTGATAGAAAAATTGAGTATCCAAAAAAGATTGCATAGGTAAAAATGATTTAACCTTGTAGAAAATTTTCAAATATTTATTTTGAAATAAATCAATATATATATATATATATATATATATATATATATATATATATGTATTATTTAAGATGAATTTGGAGATTTGTTTTATAAAACATTTTATACTATCACAGAACTATACACATGCAGTGATTATATAAATGAGAATTTTTAAATGGATTTATTAATGAGAAGTTATGTTTACTGCTCAACTTCACATTCACAAAGCTAATGGAAACCCCTTTGCTTTTATCACATTTTATTATGAACTACCCTTTGTATGAATTACGATAATACAAGTTCACTTAAGGCATTGACACTTTTGCCACAGCTTCACCGTAGACTGGCTCTGACTACAGCCACTGTAGGGATGGATCCAACCCATTACCGAAATGTTAACAAGAATGGGGCTCAAGCTTTTGGAGAAAAACAAGTGTGCTGACGCTGTCACCTTGCTGCTCCATCAAAGGTCGAAAAACATGAGTAGAAATTAATTTTTAAAATTATGTATTCAACCTATGGTCATTACAAACACACTGGCCATGTTGAGTCAAGTTTCTACAATCCCAATCTCCACTATTGGACAAAGCCAAAAAATTTGAAAACAGGCGCCAACATCAACAAACAGACTAGAATCGACATTCCCATGTGAATGTCAGCGAGTTCGTTCGGTAGGTTTGATGTCACGAACAGCAGAGATGACAACATATGGATATTTTGATCATATATATTCGAGTAAGTGGACTCACCCACTCTCAGCATGGACTAGTGTAAGGGAACTGTAATTTGATTACAAATAAGCCTCTAACAACATAATCACGTTTTCATAGAAGTGCAGAGTCAAACTTCATTCAGCAGCTTTCCCCTTTCTTCTTATGTTTTCCCCAACGCCAGAGCTATGAGGTTCAGTCTCTAATAAATAGCACAGCATGTCATTGATGTTGTCCCCAAAGATGCTGTAGGCTTCCATTACTCGCAAATAGCTGAATCCCATAGAGAGCAGCATTCGAACGTTCTCTGGCAGCACACTACTTTCACTTGGCGTAGAGGTCGCTGGAAGGCTAGGAGAACGTGAGGCGGGTCGTCTGTTGGAACCTTGTCCAGAAACCATCACATCGCTCGAGTTTCTGGGACTACCAACTGTAATACACCCAGCCCACATCACAACGGCAATTACTGGTTAAAACTCCATTAAAGTTTTCCTCAGAAACCAATCACCGCCCCTTTGACACTCTTCAGATTTGCATCTACCGAGTTCACTTATTGAATTCCGCTAAGTTCTTATTCTAGTTTTCTAACCTAAGTGTGTTACGGTATTGATCAGAAGTACGTACAGTTTGATACTCCATTCGTGAAATGTTCCAACAATCTATTACATTAATCACCAACATTTTAAAACATGTGTATGTTAAAAGTATCATGTTTCGAACATATCCATGAAAATCACGTCAGAGTTATCAACTTTTGATTCAAAATCGACTAATTCAAATATCAGTGACTCTCACAATTCAGAAATGATCAACTAAGCATCATCTACAGCTTTTATGTAGACATTGTTAACAAGTTACCACACCAATACAACTTTCAGGATTCCCGTTCATAACTGGAGTAACCTTCAAACGTGGACGGTTAAGGTCACTCCCTTGTTGAGACTACTTCTAACCCAGACACATGAAACAGAATAGATTTCCATCAAGCCGGAATGAACTTATCAGGGGTAATAACGGAAAGCATACTTGTTCTAGAAGAAGAAGGCTCTGCTCCTGCTGATGAAGAAGTTTCCTCATGCCAGACGTTATGTATTCGACGATGTTCCCCTGCCAAGTACTCCGCACGGGATTCTTCGATCACCATGCGTTCTATCTCTTGCTCGGTTAATTCCATGTCAGAATAGTACCGCCCTTCTGCAAGTAGAACCTACAGATTCACCAAAAGCCATGTTGCAGATCCACGAAACATCGTTAGTTAAGGAATTTATCGTCACACTGATAGAAATACTAAATCAGTAGGAAAAGTACTAACATATGAAGACTAAATCCACATAACTACAACTAGTATGAGAGATTACACAACAAAAAGACACTTGAGATAAAACAATTGACATAAGTGAAGCACAAAAACAAACAAAAAAAGCCAATCTTAAACATATAATGGTATTACCTTACATTTCACAGCAAAATGAACGTCTAATAGAAAATACTATAAAATACAAAAAGTTTCATTGTAGATTATAACGTGAATATGGAATATACTGGAAAGTTCTTTACAAACAATTATGTTCTTACTCAAAATGCTAGTGGTGGGTGGTCATTCTGTCCTGTACATGGACTAGATACCATTTGAGAGGCACAGTTCACTTAACAAATAAATCCATGAGGATAGACAGTGATATACTGACCCAAACTTAAGGTAAGAGGAAAGTACCTTGTCTATCTGTAACTCTTGCTGGGCGTTAAGCGCGGCCTTCACCTGTTCAGTGTCTACATTTCGCTGCACACATCCAACACCAAGCATACCAGCATTTAAGCCACGAAAAACGAACAGAATCGTCAGCGACAGGTACAAAACGTTGAGAGATTTGCCAACAAGTAGTTCCACCATACTCACAACAAGGTCTCAAAAAGTGGTTAAAGACAAACTTACCCCTCGCAAACTACCGAAACCAAGCCCTGCTCCAACAGCTGGATTGCATGGATCGACGATAGCATTATAGTGGTTCCCACGATGATAGCTCAAGCGTATAGGAGGTAAATCGGTCTCATAGCTTCCATGAAAGATATTTATGGGTTCTGACCACACAGTAGACAAACAGAATAAGCGAGAGCGTCTGCAATATTTTGATATGTTAACTATTTAGATAGTGAAGTTCAAGAACTTTGCTACATGAACCCATCGAAGACTATTAAAATTAACATTGAAACACAAAAATAGAGAGAGGGAGAGGGAGAGGGAGAGCGAGAGAAAACAATACCTGCACTATATGAATAGATGTGAATGGGCCGATTATAAATCTCCGCCATTGCTTGTATTTCCAAATTATTCCCATATACCTTCAATGGTACACATTACCTTGTGAGACAGGTAAGAAAAAAGGGAAATAGGAACAAGTTACCAACAGCAACATTTATCAACATCTGTAACACTTGAAAAAATGAATAAACATATTGAGACAAAAAAACAACTACAAGGAGTAGATATTCGTAGTGTCGAAAACATTTAACAAAACACCAGTAAAAACAAAAAAATAATAATGAAGCAACACAGAAGTTGAAACCAAACCTTATCCCTGCGCTTTCTTTTGCAATAAGCTGTGAAGCTCTCGGTCACAAATTGAGAGAAGTGATCCCTCTCTTTCTCCTGCGAAAGGTGGAAACAACTCAAACTTCAATTCAACTCCAGACTAGGCCTGCTATTCAACCATAATCAACCCTTGCATTTCTTTCATCCCACAGCAATAACGCTGTGATAAGAATTCATTAGAAGCTGGCATGTTGCAATAAGTTTGAAAACTTAACCTTGACTGCTTTCAAGCTCTATATCTAGTAGGGAACGTGGAATGCACTAAACCGCATAGGTTCAAAAGTTTTCATCTTCTTGTCGTTCCACACATGCCTCAAGCTCAACCAAACCATTGCAAAAAACGACAATCTGACAGAATACCAACCATGTAGTCAATGCACATCTGCCGAGTCTCATCATACATCTCAGCGTCTCCATACACACGATCTGCTACAGCTCTGAAGAGGCAGTTCCCATCCTCCGCCATGTGCCTGACTTCAAGTCCTTTCACACGACGAAGCTCGATCACAAACTGACGTTCTCTTTCCATCTGCATCATGAGCCGGTAATGCACAAAAATTAAAAAGTTGCTGACGATAAAATGTTGACACATCGTTAAGAAAAACGCCCCATTTCAAGTGCAACAAAACTTCCAACATAAACAATCATGTGAAGATTCACCAGATTTATATGCAATAATGTCTTCCAAGCAGGTGCAGACAATCCGAGTGCTCTCAAAGCTTCCCCTAAAAAGCGACACTGGGCTTCTAGGGAGATCACACCGATATCATCATACTATGATTTAGATGTGTAATTCTTCCTTCGGAAAACTCTTGTGCATACAAAAAAGCTTATTACTACTGCTAACCAATAAGGACCAAGAAGTCATCCCAAATCCACCAGGACAATGACCTCAAGGCGTGAGAAAGAGCATAGTTAGGGTTAACGGCATACACAGTCCTCATAGCCGGAGGTGCCAGGAGTCCAGGGACTTTGTTCGTCAGCACTGTTGTAGCCATCTCCTTCTCCGTAAGACCGAGGAGACGTGGGCCGAGAGCTGTTTGGAGAACTGCGGGTGCCCTTCAAACCTCGCGGAATCCTACGAGAAGAAGGCCCTCGATTCGCACTTAAGGCGGAGCTTCCCACCCAACCACTTCTTCGTAATGAAACAGGTGTTAAGGGGGCTGGCGGGGCTAGAGGGATAGGTGCTGAAGCATATGAACATCCAACAGGGTCTGAAGTCATGAATGAGCTTGGAGGTCTTCCTGGATCGTTCTCTTCGTGGGTTCTTGACATAGGAGGTGTGTCACAGGATGCAGCTGATGGAGGATGGACAGGAGGTAATGACGCAGGTATGTGACTAACAGGTTGCAGGTTTGAAGGAGAATGGGATGTAGAAGAAGGCAGGGGCATAGAACTTGGTACAAGATGAGAGGTTAAGTTACATGACGCTGTATTCTGTCTGGCAGAAGAATTGAGTTGACCTCGAAATATTCTGCCAGGTTGCTTTCTGCTGTTTGCTTCTGATGATCGAGACAACTCCTCCAACAATGGTTCTTTTCGTATGGTGTCAAACGGCTTTAGTTGTTCCTCTCCATCAGAGTTGATTCCACGACCTGAATCCGTTCCATTCAGATACGATTCACTAGCCTCTAAGTTTTTGCCCACAACCGAGACATGCTGTGCCTGCCGAACCAGGTTCTCCTCTTTCTCGTCTGCTGCTTCCTCTCTGCGAATTTCTAAATTACAAGCAGATTGACTTCGACTCGCCGCAGCTTCAAACTCGCTAGTTACTCTTGTATCCACAGGAACAGCATAAGCTGCATTTTTTACACTTGCACCAGTAAGGTTTGAAGAATAGAGCTCCCCGTCAAAATTTTGAGGTTCGCTTCCTGGGATATCAGGAGATTCGTCCCCTGATACCAAGGATAAAGATGAAGAGAGAACTGTATAGGATGATGGCACTGACAAAGCAGGTGATTGCGAACTAAGAGGCAGCGTTGTCGAGGAAGAGGCTGTTGCAGAGGGAGTAACTGAGGCAGAATTTGAAGGAGGCCGAGACGGCGTTTGATTCGACAACCCTCCCCGTTGCACTACAACCCGCGTCATTGTATTGGTTTGAGTTCTCAAATACACAAATATACATCCGACTCCAAAACGGCGCCAGAGCACGAAGTGTAACAAACAAGCAATGGCCTTAATAACACCGGCTCTGTTACACAGTTCTCAACTCCTGCCCCATAACAACAATCCCTTCATCTACGGATGAGGTCCCCCTGCAGAGGCTTCGATGCAAAACAGGAGCCGTCACTTTTGCATCCGCGTTCTCGACAACGGGATTCTCATGACATCCGACAATCCCGTGTTTATGCTCCCCTGCCCTCGCCCGGCACAAGCATCAGAGTCCAGAATCCAAAAGTCCTCACATGCCAATGCCTCAAGATAAATCATAGGCTATGTTTTAGGGTATATACTGCCCAATACATTTGAAAGAAAATTGCCTGCTTTCAAATAAATGTAATATCCTTCTGAAAAGCTCGAGCACTTTGACTGGCAACAACACACCAATTCTGCACAAGCATGTTTGCACAGGACATGAGTCGTTAGTGCCAAATTTGAATTCTATGCCGCAACCAGAATCCTCACAAACAATACTTTGAGCCCAATTGGTATCAACTTTTCAGAATACATGATGATCATCCAGCATCCAATCAGAAGCAAATGACGACCCGAAGAAAACACGTTTACCCAGCAGAATCACATAGCGGGAATGCACTCCTAAAACTGAGTTTCAACAGTTGTGGACCAAATCCCGATGTAACAAGACCTTTCCAGCCAGCCAAACGTAACACACCAGATACAGGAGAGTAGCAAGGTTGATAGATGAAGATTATAAATAATACAGTCCAAACAAGCCAGTTAAGCAACACCTCGAGCTCTACAAACAATTGTCTTCCTGAAAAACCTAGTCCGTCGACGTATAAATCCTCGGAGGCAATCGATCACACAAGTGACATTCATGCCAACCTGCAACTATGGCACCGAAAGTAGTACGTTATAAAACGCCTCAGCGAAACAAATTACTTCGAACATACATACAGCAGGCTCGCTTTTCAATCTCCCAGGAAGTCAACACCCTCATCGCACTTCAATTAAAACCCACTCCCCTTCGTAAATCCAAAATTAAGACTACACTCGTACGTTAAGAACCACGCCCAAAACCGAAACCAGACCTCAACTCTTCGTCCGCAAAGTTAATGAATCCCACAGCACCGAAATTAACCAAACCTTCCATGCGACAGATCCAGTACCATCACCTAATTGGGACCAAAGGGGCCAGTTCCGTGAAAACGCATCCCACACCAAGACCCTCGCCACGCAAACCCCTGTAAAGCCGAAAGAATGCGCACTAGTCGTCCGACAAGCAAAGAAACTCTGCAGGCCCCATATCACGAAATGCGTGACGACGACTGATTCCGCAACACAAACCCCGAGGAGATTTTATCCGCTCTTCCCTGTCCCGTGGTGCTCACATGTCGCGCACAATCAATCAGTGAAGGGGCAGTGGTGACGACCCATTCTGAGTCAAACCCTAAGCACGGCAATAGGGATGCCAGGACGGCAATATGATGCGGTGCGGGCACACGAGGAAATGGGTGCTTGCGAACTTGAGGGCGTGCACAGAACACGAGGGTGGGGAGGGAGGAATAGTCAGGAAGCAAGCACGCAAGCAAGCAAACGAACGAACGAGCAAAAGATTGGAGTTGACAACAAAACCCACAAAGAGACACACACGTCTACAGACAGAGCAAGAGCGAAAGAGACACACATCCACACCCAACATACCCACATGCCCACACACACACACCTTCTTCATTGCCTCGTTGCCGCAACCTTAGATACCCTCCTTCCTTCCCGCATGAGATATGTCACCTTTCTCTCCCTCTCTTCCTGGCTACATGCTCTAGATTATCCCTCTCTCGCGCTCTCTCTCTCTCGCTCTCTTGCTTCTTCCCCTGCTTTCCCTTTAGCTCTTGGTCTTAGTCTTGGCCTCGGACCTGCCAATATCAACAATAACGGCGACAACAAGAGGAGTATGAATGAGGATGATGATCCACTTTCCTCCGTGTCTGTCGCTCGTGCACTCTGACTCTTCCTCACTGCTTCGTCCTCCCCTTCTTCTTCTGCTGCTTCTTCTGTCTGTCTGTTCGCTTTCTTTTCTCTTTTGTGGGTTTTGTCTCACTCTGGCTGAGAAGTGAAGTGAAGTACCCCCATGCGTAGCTACCCCCTGTTTCTTCTCCTCTTTTTCCTTGTGGTACTGCCTCTTTTTTGTCGTTTCTTTTAGATTTCATGTCCCTGGGTTTCTTTTCTATTCTTTTTTTCTATAATAATGTGTATTTTTTTGGCTTTGAGGAGCACAGCTGCTAGTGCTCCTGGACCAGAAGCAGTAAATTAACAATTGTACCAATTGTTATTGTTGTTGTCGTACGCAGCTGCAGCAGAGCCGAGCTCCTCCATCGCCCTTACTTCTCCCCCACGTATTCTTTCTTCCTTCCTGACTTGGTCTGATACTTGGGACTCACTCCCTTTATTTTAACCATTCCAAACACACAAATACCAACGACATTCATTCCTTTCTAACATTAGTGTTTATTATTATTAATGTCTTAAAGAGTATTCATATGACATTTTTCAATACTTTTAATTCGATGCTTTCTTTTTCAAACGAGACAGAAAAAAATTAGGATCTTTTAAAAATGTATACCTTGAAGTCACATTTAAAGCATAAATACAATTGCACTTTATGCTTGATTCTAGAAGTCCAACCCGAAAAAATTGCAAACTTAATTTCCACATATGAAAAACACAAAAAACATTCTTGCTCATCACAGCGAACGCGTCACTTGTTGGGCCGCTCCACACATAATTCGATGAATGAAAACATTTCTTAAATAAGAAAACAAACAACCAAAAACCGGAAACCATGTGCGGAGACATGGCAGAACGAGAGAACTTTGCACTCTGCATTCATCAACACAGAAAGAGCCTGTCAATGTCACAGAATCTCCTCCTCCTCCTCCGCAGCAGGCTCCATGTTCATTCGTTTTGGCTCAAAAATGTTGTTGTCGGTGCAGCAGACCTAGAGATGCAGAAATGCTACAGTGAGAGCTGGAACCTTCTGCTGCAGAAGCATACGAAGCAGTAGTAACAAAACACACACATTCACACACACACACACACACACACACAAACCAACACAACCTCGCAACATCAAACCCACTTGTATGTTGACGACAAACACAACAACCAGGAATGTGATGTTCGGCTTCTCACAGAGTTAAAAGGAACAATGATTTCAAGTAGAAGAGCAAACATGAAATTGTCATGACAAATTAGCATTCTCGCACTCAGTGGCATCAATCACATCGCTGTGGATCTCCTTTGCAAATTCTTTTCCACCATGAATTTATCAAGACATGCACTATGTTAAGACCTTTGCTTGCTTGCTTGCTTGCTTGCTTGCTTGCTTTCAACCATGACGTTTTCCTCTTGGCCTTTTTGTTCTGTTTTGGGTGTGTTTTTAAGTGTCTCTCATGTTAATTCTCATTTCTCAACAGAAATTTGTGTCCAGACATCGAAAGAGTGACCTTTGAGAACTCCAGTTGATTTGTTTTTATTTTTGTGTTTTGTTTCTGAGGTGCTTTTGCTATGTGTTTGAAGTTAGGAAATTCTCTTCGGGAATTTAGGGTGAATCTTAAGTAGTGTTCTTGGAAAGTTATAAAGACATCTCCTTTTAGTTGAAGTTGATACAGTAGTTGATAAAACAAAATATGTGATGTTTCACCAAAGAATATTCTATTATATTTTATTTAGTGATGAATGTATATACATTGATAAACATTGTTAAAGTGTTGTAAGGTTTTGATAAATACAAGTTAACTATCTTTAAACCAATATCAATATGTATTGTTAACATATTATAATGTTTTGATATATATGATTTTTTTTATTATTAACTTATATTGTACCATTTTTATTTTTTTTAAAAATCTCTCTCTCAATAGTTAAATCAAGTTAGAAATTTCTGTAATCTTACAATTTTATGCATGAAAAAATACAATAATTATTATTATTTAACAATAACTTCATTCTATTGGTTGTCACTCAATACATTTCTTGTTTTCATTCTTTTAAACACCATTAATAATTTATTTGAAACAAGATGTAAGCCATAATGCATGTCTAAAGTTTTAGAATATCCATACCTCATCATAAAACCTTATTGTTCTTAAAAGTGTTGTTTGCACCATTCAAAATGGTGTTTTGTCTTCATCTATAAATCAAAGATCAATTACAGTATAATAGACATTGCAAGATAAAGACATCACTTCGTAAACAGTGACATTTTTTCATTCTACTATACATTTAGGCAAGTTTTATGCCAATATAATCATCATACAAATGTACAACTATGTAAAACTCAATAATTGATATGCTTCACTTCTTCCAACATTACTTTAAACTTTTGTCATTTTATTTTGACACACACATATATATATATATATATATATATATATATATATAAAAAAAAAAAATGTCTGGATTTAAAATATATCACAATTAATTTTAAATTCCTTATGTTGCATAAATTACAGAACTTTTCAAGTTGAAAAGAGAAAAATAACTTAGTTAAGCTTGATCATCTATAATCTCAAATTCAATGTAATAATCTCAAATAGATTTTAATAATGATTTAACTAATCATATTTAAAGAATCAAGCTCTAATATTAATTGGAGAAAACAAAACAACGCAGGAACCTTAAATATCTGTAGGTAGAATTTAAGAGACGTAAATAAGCCATATAATGTAATAAAAATATTTTGAGAATTCATACATTTTATGGCTTACTTACATATATACATATTAGAATTTTGAGAAAAAGGTCATAGGGTCTTTAAAGCTTTGAAATGAAGACAACACAATGCTTTTAATATCAACACCTACCGTCCCTAATTATGTTATATACATAAAAATTTTAATGATAAAATAATTTAATTATTATATAATTACCTCAATATTACAAGTAATAATTTATTATCTAGATAATACTTTTAATATTTATTTAACAAAAATGACTTTAAGAAAATTCCTTGTCAAAGAAAATTTTATCATTATTTTTGTATTTGTTAATCTGGTTTTGAAAAAAATTAAATAGATATTTATTTCAGTTATCAAGTGATATTTTTAATCCGCATAGAATGCCAAATTTTAGATCTTAGAATAATCTATTCAATTTCAAGAGATTCTAAATCTTTTTTAAGCTGGTTTTCTATGGATTCTTTACAAATCCCGTATAAAAAAATATAAGTAGCAAGTCTAATTTAGATTTTTTTAATAAAAAAACAACATTACAAAAATGATTGTAGTATTAAATTAAAGCTGTTAAATACTTTCTAAAAAACATTGTTGATAAATTAAGTGATAAGTTATAAGCAAGGCAGACATCAAATTATTTTGCCTTACATGAAGCAATTATATATTAATTATCAAATTCTTTCTTAACTTTTTAAATTAGACTTCTGAATTTTACATTCATTATTTTTTAAAACAATTCTTTGATTTTAACATGAGCGTTGAGTCATTCCATTATGTTTTGGTAGAGTTTACTTGTTCATCTTTTTCCAAATATGTTTCTTTATTTATTTTCATTTAAAAAATAAATAAAATTATATGTACATTTTTTTTCTCTTCTATCCATAGGAATACATTCGTATTGTTCATAAATAATCGATTCCAGAATAAAATTGTCTTGTGGGAAAAAATAATAATAATAATAATAAATGAATGTTAATTTCATATCTGTCATATGATATTTGAAATAAAATTAGGTTCAATGTTAAGATCATGACCTTTGTGCATAATAGTTAAAGAAATTAGAAAACGTAGTTTGAGTTTTGTGTTAAAATCAGATTCATATAGAAAATACCCAAAATATAAATACCAAAACCAGGATTACAATTAAAGTTGTGCTAACCAATAAAGCCTCTTATTCTTCTCTTTTGTATTATCATTTTTTTGCAAAAAATAAAATAAAATACATTCATAACAATGTTCAATATGGTGTCAACACTTGTTTATTTATTTGTTCCCTTCAAATTATTAATTTAGTATTCCTAAACACATATCATTAATGCCATTAGAGTTAAGAAGAGAGTTTATATTTTTTTAGTATAAATTTTCAAATGTTTTACATATTATATTTATTTGTGATGAAATCCAAGTTTTAAAATTTATTTCAGTATGAATAATATAGTTCAATACTTCAATATACAAAATAACTCTCAAGACATATATATAAGTTCAACTTTCTTCATACAATCAATCACTTAATTAAATTGATATCATACATAATATAATTATAACAAAAGAATAAAATAAAATTGAAATAGAAAACAACTTATTAGCCTAAAAAAGTAAATTTAAATAAAGGAAATGCTCAACGATGTCTTGTTTACCGATCATGTGTTTTATGAGTACTTGAAATATTATTTTATTGATACATCTACAGAAAAAACATGTTGAAGTCTTAACCATTATGTTATTTTCAAATTCAAAAAAATCAGTCATCTTAAAAACCAATAAAGAACAAAACCGGAAAAAAAAAAAAAAAAAAAAAAAAACAACAACAACAACAACAACAAAATATGCAATGGCATGCTGTCATACATCCCACAAGAATTGTAGTTGTAGTATGGAAGTGTACAAAGCCATAAGATTGTGGTCATTAAATCTCCATTTGAAACAAAGCTCTAACAAACACACCGACAAACAGTTTTAACGAGATCCGATTCTGAGACCCGGCGGGTATACTCGCATTCCCTGCCCATGACCGCGCAAAGATTTTCCCAACCCGTGACGGTGTATCGGATCGTGTCATGGTTCATCACTCCCACGGAGACAGAGCCTCCTTTCGAAAGAACCCAAACCCGCGCCACTTCGGCATCGTCGTCTTCGTTGTTCCCTCCGTCATCTCCTTCGTCGTCGCCTCCGTCGACTCCGTTGTCGTTTTCGTCGACGTGGTAGGCTCGTTCGCTGTGGGTGCTGTGGGTGCCGAAGGAGAGGTTGTTGATGGAGGAGGACGACTCGTCTGGAACGGAGCCACGGAACTTGTAAGTGTGGAGGAGCAGGTGCAGGGTAGTGGAGTGGAGTGGCGAAGCAGCGCTGTGATGTAAGGGGGTGGGGCGGAGGAGTCAAGCGGGTGATGGTGGTGTTGACGGAGGCGTCGAATTTCGCTTCCTTAGGTCTTGTGGTGCAGCTGAGGAGGATAATAGTTTGAGGGGAGGATTAGGGGTTGCTTGTTGTCCAGGTAGTGAGGGAACAGCTTTGCTTTGAGCTGTGAGTTTGGGTTTAGGGTTTGCGTGAGTGAAGGTTGAGTGAAGCATCACCATGTGGCATGAGGCACGGCGGTCGGAGAAGAAGGTCCATGAGATCATGGATGCGGCGAGAAGGCGTGCCCAGAAGAGGGCTGTCTTCTTGGCCAAGAGACGAGTGGATCCGCATCAGACGCTGCGAGTAGTAGGGACGCGGTGCCGTGTGCACCATGATGCTACCATTTATCAGGCCACGGAGGATCAGCAAGGGTTAATTCCGTGGAATGGGAAGGAGGACAATCTCATTGATCGCTTTGACGGACGGGCGTTGCTGGATTTCATACGGGAGTATAATTCGTCTGGGAACCACCATCTGCAGCGAGAGAGAACTGAAGAAGAAGAGGAGCTTGAGGTGATGGTCAATTTTCAACGGTATCGGGATCTTATCAAACAGCGACGTCGGGGGCTGTCTGACAAACAGGGACTGGATTTTGTGGAGCAGGAGCTGGAGGCAAAAACCGTGGCTTCGTTTGCATCTGATAAGCAGCGGCCGGTGGCAGCAGCTAAGCCTACTTACGGACAGGTCGGATTTGCGTACGAGGGAATGAGCGGGGCAGGGGCAGGAGCTTCGAAGGAGGAAGCGTTGATTGCCGGGTTAGGGGAGAGCGATAGTGATGAAGAAGCTGCGGAGGAGGAGGAAGGGAGCAGTAGTGAAGATAGCGAGGACGAGTTAATTGAGTCAATTGGGCAAGATTATGGGGTGCAGAGATTTAACTCATTGCTCAGTCTCGATCGCAAGTTGAAGGAGGAGGAAGGGCGGCAGAAAGAATTAGTGAAAGGGGACCCAGCATTGAGGAAGTTGAGCAGAAAGGAACGTCGTAAGGTTTCCCAGCAGGAAAGAGAGCGGGAAAAGGAGGCAGCTAGGCAACTAAATAATCGGCCTCTTCAGATTGATCCTTACAGGGAATTGAGGAAAAGTCCTACATATGACTCTTATCACTCTCATCACAGAGTACACAGAGGAAGGTCCACTTCTCTTTCTCCTCCTGTTTCAAGGTCCAGACTGGACTATCGTTACCAGGATCCTGACCCAGATGACCGGGACCACTATGGCAGGAAGCGGAAAAGTTCGGGTGGCACCACTTCCACGATCGAGTACATTACCGAGTTTGGGATCGAGGGAACTGCCGGTAAGCCTGAACGAAACATGGCAATGCCAGTATCACCTCCGTCGATTGAGCTAGATGCTCCTCGTCATGTGCTTCCATCAAGTCGGATTCTTGAAGCTTTACATAGTGATCCAGCAGCTATTGCTGTAACACCATCAGCTTCTGGACTATCAGTTACCGATTGGGATGCGCGACAGAAAGAAAGAGAATCGAGAGGCTCTGGTGTTTCTTCTTCCTCTGCTCTTGCGAAACTGAGCAAAGTCGCAACTCCTGGGTCAGCTTCACAGAAGACTTCTCATGCAAATGAAAAGTCTCAAGAAACTCCACAAGAGCGTTTGAAGCGAATTATGAACAAGCAGCTGAGTAAGCAAATAAAGAAGGATATAGTATCGGAAGCAGGGAAGAAGAGGGAACAGGAAAGGGAAAGACAAGAGAAGCTTGCTGAGACTCGCCGCATAGCCCAACGTAGTAGACGTGGTCGCAGCAGAAGTCGAAGTCGCAGTCTGTCCCCAGTGAGATATCGCTACAGAAGCAGGAGCAGAAGTCGAAGCCCTATTCGGTCCTATCCAAGGTCATCCAGTGAAAGAAGCCGCAGCCGAGTGAGGAGTTGAGTGCTATCAGCATGCACCTGCTCCGCATGAAATTGTCGGCTGAAAGGCCTATTGGTGTGTTTTCCCTCACTGCACTTCCCGAGTTCCTGCAGTATGCACTTTTGAGCAACGCTAGGGCCGTGAGTCTCACGTAGTTTCTTCATTTCTGTTTCCATATGATGTCACGTGGAGGACGCTTCCTGGATCCCAGCTCCACCAGCTCACAACTAACCAGCCTCATTGTACATACGACTCTTGTAATGCTCATCTGGGGATTTCTACATTGAGGTATAGTGCATGCTCATGCAAGTTCTCCTTCTGTGAATGTGGACAGAGTAATTTCTTAAATGGACCTCTGCGCACACATAATTTTGCTCGGGGTTGAAAGCCCTGGTCCTCTACGATCATGGCTGAACTCTTGCCTACTCGACCTTTGTTGACCATTGTATTCTTATCAGTTGTCGTCTGCAGAAGCACGTCACTCTCGACGTCAACGTATTGCAGTTGACAAGAGTCTTTTACTTGATTTAATTTAAGTATCAGTCTGAAATTATTTACGTTGGTTGCGTAATTTAGTTCTGAAGAATATATGGTGTGACTCCGCAAATTGCGAAGACTGTTATATTTGATTTCATTATATATTTGACAGCCTACTTGGGTTGTCAGAGCTGTTGACGATACCGTGTTCTGGAGCGAAAAATCTTTTCTTTAATTCAAAAATAATTGTCTTGTCTTTCATCTCAATCCAAGTTGGATAGTTGTTATGTTTTCTTCCAAGTTCCGAGCCCAAGCTTGAAAAGCTGAAGCTGACCTTAAATACCTATGTAAAGCCTACTCATAGATTGTCTACTCCCCAACTTGCTCTATAATTTTTGATGCTAAGATTTTAAACAATTCCTTCGAATAAATCCTTCAGTTCCTGTTCAGAAAACCTTTGAAAACATGAATGAAGCAGACCTGCATGCTCCTTTTAGTCTCCTTGTAGTATGCAATGAATTTAACATGACAGAGCTAATTTTCAAAAAAGCAGACCATGTAAAATTCTAACTTCCTCACATTGAGTACTCTGGTTGTGATTAGATAAATTCAATGCTACATTTTCTACAATAGAATGCTAGAATTCAATAGGTGAGATTGGAACTTGTAACTGGAATTCAAATAGTCAAATTTAGAAACATACTTTGAGGTGCAACATACCATAATCTAGTACTTCAAGGTTATTGTTGATCAAAATAGATCAAAGTATGCATATATATTTTGAAATGAATCTTTTAGGTTTTATTTTTCAATAAAACAGACATTTATTGATTTTGATTTTGATTTTGAATATTATTTATTATGAAGTGAAAATTAGGACTCAAATGAACATTAATGTGAACTTTAATTAGGAATTTGAAAAGATTTTTCTAAAAACTTTATACTATAGAAAGAATCTCATATCTTTAATGAGGCACATTAGATTGTATTCAATTTTTTAATATAAGATGTTAAAAGTGTGATGTTATTTTATTCCTCCTGTACCTCGAGATTAATTTTTTAGGTCTTTTATATCTATGTTTTTTTAATTATATTTCTTTAATTAGTTTCTAAATTTACACACAATAAAATTCAAACACAAGATAGTTTTTGTTAATAATATACTTTAATAATTGTACATTCATGGCAAGTAAAGAAATCTCTATGTTTTTCATTTTTTAATAGACTGTAAATTGAGTACTATCAATTACAAGACATTCATTGAATATGTATCTAACTTTTTTAAGTTGATTTTATTTATGAAAAAAATCATATGAAATAAAAATATGGTTGTAATTATTTGAATAAGATTTATTACTAAAGAACTTTTTATGAAAGTGAATAAAAAATAATATTATTTATAAACTTTCTCTACGCATGTAAGACCAATTCAAATATTTTTATTAAAAAAAAATTATTATAGAAGATTTTATGGTTTATTCATATCTCAATGGATGTTTTGTGGAGGTTTTAAATAGAGACTAAGTAGCTATAGGTGTAATCCATAGCAATTTGTATGATATCAATTACAAGAAGCTAAGTAGAGTTGAAATAGCTAAATTTGGTGACATTCCATCTATTTCAACAAAAGTTTGTATAACCATCTCAATGTCAAGAATATGAACTTTAAAATACCATAATTAAGGTGAATATTTGTAAATAAAAGAAAAAAAAAAAAAAAAAAAAAAGAGGAAAAAGTGAAATATCTTAATAATGGTTTGTAAAGAATGTATACAAGATTAAAAACACTGAAAAATAAAAATAAAAATGTATACTCTAAGTTAGAGAATTGTATATACTACCAAGTTGTTGAATATTGTGCATAGTGGTATTTATAGATTTTTGACCACCATATCTCTGAAAGAAGATTAGAAAATTCTTACATGCACATGAATACACACTTATATATATATATATATATATATAAAAATAAATGACTCAATGTTTTGCAAAGTCTAATGACTTGAAGGCAAACTCAGTGACTCAACTCTAGAAGGATGAATGAACCCGTAAAACATCCTAGGTTGGTGAGCGACTGGATGAAAGTGATCACGCCACTACCCAGGTAAGCAATATCGAGAAACTGCCACTATACCCGTCATGGATTGATACCCGCACTTTACAGAAGTGTGGTATTTGAAACTGATCAATCGAATTTGGCCGAGAACCGACTGTAAGGCGGTAAAATCTCTTCCTTTCACGTGGTCGTCGGCTCTAATGGCGTTGTCCTATCTTAGGGGCCGGGCTGGGCTGGGCCGGGGCCGGCGCACCCGGCCCCGCGTCGTCTCCTTCTTCTCTCCCGCCACTGGGGCCATAGAGATCCCTGATCAGCGTTCATCGGAAACTCTGTTTTCTTCCTGCGAGGAGGAGCCCATGCATGAATGTCCACTCTCGATCGGTGGATCGATCGGCCCCTCTGACGTAAATGCGGCGTCGGTCTCCCGCCGCGAGGATATCCCGGAATCGCTGGTATTGATGAACATCGCCGGAACTTGAAGTGGCGGACGTTTTTCAGGGTGTTTGGCCTCGGCTTGGCGATCCACGAAGGTCTTTACCGGTCCGGACCTCTGTATTTTTGAGAATTTGTTCTGTGGTTTGTGTGGTGAGTGTTTGGGAAGGGACTTTACTGGCCTGAAGATTGAGTGCAGCCTGGATTCTTGACAATTATTTGAATGCCTTAATTCTTAAATTTATGGCAACCTAAAATCCAGCGTCGTGGTGTAGCTTGCGTAGTGCCGGCGACGTCTTTCAGGATTGCTGTGTTGTTTGGAATTCTTGAGGTCGTATTAGTGTTTGTCGGATCTTCTAATTTGTTTGGGACACCCCCAAGACCTATAATTGTGTGGCCGCGTCCGGATGGCTGAGACTTGATTTGTGTTATCTCCTGCTTTTGTTCCACAATATGCTCTTGACGATTCTTCCTCCCCTGTGATTGCATTGTTCAGGAAGTGTTGAAGCCTTGTATAGAGGTTACCGTCAAGTGCAGCTGGATAGCGCGCAACCGAACTTACGATCAGAATGGTATGCTGCCATGTTCATACGTGCATTACCTCTGTTGCTGAAGCGTCCTCGATTATGGTTTATTCCCCGCGAAATGTGCTAGTTATTTGGTTTTCGTGGCAACCGCCTGCTGCTACTTTTATCTTGATTGGGTTCACCATGGAAAAACAGCTGTGGTACTCTGCCTACTAGGAACATGTGCTAACTTGCGGATGCTGTCATCATTGGAACGTAGCTGTATATTCAAGCATGTCGTACCCTTGATTCTGGCAGGTACCTACACTGCCGCTATCTGGACTGATAATTTCCCAATATCATGAGAGAATCGTCGTGAAATTGGTGTACAACTCTGGCCTTTAGGAACACTGGCATTTACATTTGGCGGTTGAAGCTTTCATAAAGACCTTTATTTCTGTTAGCTGGAATAAATGGCACTCAATCCTGATGCATGCACAACATCATGGTGCATCTGTGAGGACCGCTGAAATGCGAAGTGTCAAGAGTGCGAGAGGAGCATCCTCGTGGTGGTAGGACAGTACTTTGTACTGCTTGGGGATTAGGAGAATAGCTAGCGGTGGCTTTTGGTGGCCCTTGTGAGGGAGTTCCGGAGTCAAGTAGACCAAAGACGTGATCGAGCAAAATTCCTGTCTTCTTCCGTTTTCTTTTCAGTTTCTCAGCGAAACTATCATAATGTACAAGCTACATTACCAATTGGGAGGAATGATTACTAAATTTTTTTCGAAAGCTTTGGGGTGATCTTTTGCATATGACGTGTAAAAGAGGCTTCGCAAGGCCAGCCATAATTGTTTGCATCCCATCATTTTGCGGACCTTCTTTACTTGGCGTGATTTATAATTTTATAATTTTATAAGTTTAGTCTTTAGGGAGACAATTCAACCTGGCTGGTGCCTTTTGCTTCCTTTGATGCTGCGAGGAAGACACTTTATGCATGGATTGATATGCAATTATAGTGTCTTTGGTGTAGGTTCCTACATGTGCGTATTGTTTCGCTTTTGGTGACTACGAGCATTTTAGATCCAATTTTTCATTCAGTACGGGTATATATTTTGATGGACATGTTCCAGGTAGACTGGTCATGAAGCCCTGCGCTCGAGCGCCATGGCTCCTCGCGTGCCTCCACCAAATGAGGAATATCGAGCTCTTGTGGACAAAGCATATGACAAGTTTGCAAGGCTACGAGAATTCCCTGCTTACGGTCGCAACAAATGGGATTTCTACTTTCACAAAACTTTCCAGGTTCCATCGCAATACTTATCATTATGCAGGCTTCTATTTTGTCCTGAAGATCATTTATCATTCAAGTATTTGAATGTTCTGTATTTGAGGGCGCTTGTCTGACCACATACCTGACCAGAATCTTGCGGGATCTCATCGTCAACATAAAGCACTGCTTTTCTCATCTGATTGGAAAGACATGTTCTGCCTTTTTGAATCCCCTTCTGGTGTAGCTTGTGATAACTGGGATGTGCAGTAGGTGTCGCAAGCTAATTCGATATAGGCCCAAATTTCTAGATATGTTAAAGCAGCATTTGACTCAACTGTTGGAAATTGGTGAGATGCAGGTCTACTCGAAGCTTTGGAAGTTTCAACAAGAGAATCGGGCGAAGTTGGTGGAGATGGGGCTGAAACGTTGGGAAATTGGAGAAATTGCATCTCGAATAGGACAGTTGTACTACAACTACTATCTTCGCACCAGTGACTCCAAATTCCTAACAGAATCGTTCATATTCTACGAAGCCATTTTCAGCCGAGAATACTTTAAAGAGTATGACAAAGATGTTGCGGTGGCTAACAAACAACTTCGATACACTGCTCGCTTTATCGTCATTTGTCTTCTACTCAACCGCAAGGAGACTGTTCAACTTCTTGTGCGCCAATTTCGGTCACTTGTGGATGAATACACTCGCACTTTTAATGAGGTTAGTAAGTTCTGAAACAGAGTGGTTTCCTTCTACTTTGCAATTTTGTGCCTCCAATTACAATGTCGTTTGTTTCTCGCCTGTAATACTTTACCATGTTATGTGCAAAATAGCTTACAAGATCCATAAATGAGTTTTTTCTTATTTTGAAGCGTTACTGAGTAGAGCGTTTATAGCGTCACCTTTGTGGATGACATTACGAATATAGCTGGGGACATCCTATCAGGGTGCAGATGCCAAGGATTGGAAGGTAGTCGTTCAGGAGATTCTCCGGTTTATGAGAGCGGATTCTGCCTGTGACACAAGCAGGCCTTTAAGATATTGTCTTGTCTATGATCCCCATCCGTCCACATTTTCTCAGTTCCAGAAAATTGAAGTAAAGAAGCCTTTGCACCTGGAGGATGCAATTCTTGCAAGTTATTATCATAACGAGGTTATGATTCGCTTTAACTATGGTCCACTTTGTCAGCTAGCCAGTATTGATTTAAAGATTAGGGTCTAATGTATATCTTTAAAATAAGTAAGAATATTCTGTGAAGCCACAAGTTAGTCTCAATTTCTCTCCAGAGATGTCGATTGACATTGTTAATTACATTAACCTTGTACTTAGGGAGGCAGCTTTGTGAAAATGCAGATTAAATTCAGTGAGTTAACGCTGGATACATTCAGAATGCTACAAGCTATTGAATGGGAGCCAAGTGGACTGCTGTTTAAAATGCGTACTGATTCATCCATGGGTTCTGGCGGAATTGGAGTGTCGGATGAGATCCCTGACCCTAGTTTGCCACCAAACCCTCACAAATACATTCTTTACCGACCTACAGTACCAGATTTGCTTCTGGTGGGTTTCAAGTTTTTCATTTTTGTCATCAAATATTGTAAAATATAATCAGTATCTTCAAGCACATGGGTTCTTTTTGTGAGCTGCACTGCTTTGAAGAAGGACAATCCCATCTGTTGCGATTGAATGTGAAACCTCATTTCTTGTAATTTCTTGGCTAGTTCAGATCTCAATGTTTCGTCGTGCTTCCTGATGCCAGGTTTTGGCAACAGCTTGTGACGAGCTTTCTTCTGATGGGATTGTCCTTCTTTATATTTCGGCCTCTGGTGAGTGGAGCTCTGAATTTGGCCACTTTTTTGTGGTTTGAGCTGTGAACAGAATCGAACTTTTAATCGAACTTTGTCCAAGTCTTACCCTGTCCTTGTTCGTTGGTGATTGTAGGAAGGTCCGGTCGTAGTCTGTCGACTAGCTTGTCTTCTCAAAATTTGGGAGGAGCTCTTCAATCTTCGAAGAAGCGAGTCGTTTCTCTGACTCCTACTTTGAATTTGAGGAATATAAACATAAATGTTGCACAGACTGGAATAATTGATTATACTGAGATGGCAAAGATGGATAATTCCGACGAAAACTCACCGACCACATCTCCTGGTATGAAGGATGCACCAGCGACACATTCATCACCAGAGCAACCAGGAAGCGGAACTTCTGGGTTATGGCTTGGATCCAAGAGAAGTTCAGGCAGGATCTTTTTCTTCGCTTCTAAATTTATAATGTTACTTTTGGTTTGCACATGATGAGTAAATCGACTTGTGGCTGAAAAGGGTTATCACATCTCAGTGTTTTTCTCTGTATAGGTCTCAACCTTCTTTATCCAAGTGACATCCTCCCGTTCACACGTCGACCTCTGTTTATCATAGTAGACAGCGACAGTAGCTTCATATTTGAGGTAATTTTACAACAATCTTCATCTCCTGGTCTTGAATACTCAGTGCACAGCCAATCGGATGTTGACTCTTTTTCAGGAAAATAATATGCTTACTTTTGTGTAACTGGTGAAAAATTTCCATCCTTTGCAGTCTATTAGTGGAGAAGAAAGAGGAGAACAAGCAATACTACTGCTTTCTCCTAGCATGCAGCCTTGGGAAGATAAAGGTTTATCCTCGACGTCTTCTTCGTCGTCATCTAACCGAAGCGGCAATATTTTTACTTTCTTTCTAACTGCTCCACTCCTTGCATTCTGCCAAGTTTTCGGGACTTCTGGCAAGAACATGCCAAAGGTAATTAAGCTCTGCTGTAACCGCGATCCGGTATACACGTTCTGCTCTTTATTTCTGTTTTCGTTCGAGAACTTCGTCAGATTCACCAGCTTATGGTTTCTTATTGATTAGAGTCCAACTCTAGCGCAAGTATAATGTTGGGTAATGTGTAAAGCAAATCCAATGTGCAGGGAAATTATGAGCAGACCGAAAAGCTTCTTGCCACACTGATTGCAGAATGGGGCAACGCCTTGGACTCGATGCGTCTTGATCCTGTTTGGGCCAGGGTACTGGGAGATCCATTTCTGCGTCAATTAACTTGCAGGTATGATCTCTCTGTGGTTCGTTTTAAGTTCCTCTTCCACTGTAATGCCTACTGTAATGACGGGATCACTGTTAGCTATGTCCAGGAATTTGATCTTGTTGAGTTTCTCGTTTTTCAGGTTCATATTCTGCCGCGCAGTGTTTGGTCTCCATTCAAAGTACCGAGACAAGCCTGAATACTTGCCTCGTTGCAATCCGCCTCTACCAGATGAGCTCCTTCCGACGTCCAAAGTGGTGGAGATGGTGGTGTATCTGTTAGCAACTAGGTTTGGGGTTTCTGATCAATTCGACTCCAGACCAAGCACCGCCAAAAAAGCTGATGGTTTGAATGGATCATTCAAAGATGAGACTACAACTGGTGAAGACTTTTCTGCAGGTGAGGCGAGCGAGGAAGAACCTTCTGACGACAGGTTTCTTCTGAAGCCATCTTCCTTGCATTACTGAGTTACACGTTGTTACATAAGTGGTAGCTGGGTTTGAATTCTTAGTGCTCGACTTAACATTGTCAGCTGTAGCTAAGACATCGAGTTATTCTCTTCCCGCCACACGTAATTTGATTTGTGGATTCGGGCTCCCTCCATTGTTTTTAGATGAATAGCGTAGTCTCTTGTAGATGAATTCTGCTTCCATTGGAATTTGAGCAGATCGTGTGACTCGGATTGTTTGCCTTGCTTGGAATACAGTTGGTATTCTTTTAATGGCGATTTCAGTAATAGTACTGTTTGTGTAAGTGAGTTGTACAGGCACTGGTTAGCGTCATCTGAAGCTTTGGGTACCATGACAAGGAATCGCAAATACTGGACCTGAACTTGAGAAGTTCCGCGTAGAGTGTAAGTTCATGATATGTAATGAGTATTTGAAAACATTATTTTTGTGCAGTTTATTTAGAACAATGTTTAATCCTAATTTTTTAGTAAGCGATTCGCTTATACAGTTGCCTCAAATACATCTGTTTCCTTAATGTTACCCTGCTTCTTTATCAAGCGCTCCTTGATTTTCTCTGCAGATTCCAGAGGTTTGAAACTTTAATAGTAGACAAGTTCTGTCCACTCGACGAATCTTTCTTCGAACTGGATATTCTCATATATTATGCAAACTTATTGTGGACTTTTTTTTCCCTCAAATGACAGTGATCGCGGTTACTGGCACATGTTCGTGACAATGAAGTTATAAAATCAATTCATAATCCTATTTGTACTCTAGGTCAGCAGATCATATTTAGACCAATCAAATTGGAGATTGACCTGGCAAGGAGCAGACTTTCTAAAAATGCTGAGTCTATGGGTCAACCCAATCATTTTGGTGTTGGTGGCATCGTGTGCTCCGTTTTCAGAAAGAAATTCAAACAAAGTGGATGAAGAGGAATCTTCTCCAAACATTGGTGATGGCCATGGCAATTCAAAACACTCAAAAGTGTTGATACTAATATTCCCCTTGTTCCATGATATCATTTGTTTTGATTGTTGCCTTATGCACTGGAACCTATAGGGGACAGGCTATGGAATTCGTAATGTTATTGTCAGATGTTTAAGGAGCTTTGGGTGAATCGACTTCCAAGTTGCGGGAAAGTGGAAACTCTAGAACAGCAGAGATTAATATTTGCAAATTAATCTTGAATGTCTTTAAAAGTAATAAAATGATGGTTGCATAAAATATGAATGGCGCTTCTAGGTTCAATTATTGATGCCTTCATTGTCATTGCTAATCATCGAATTTTTTAACTCATTCTTATAGTTCATTTTTATGTAGCATAATTTCACTTCAAGTCTTGTCGGGTGTTCATGCTAAAAATATAAAACATATCGAGTGCTTGCATATCCTTTACAATAATTATTTATTTACTTAAAAACTACTCTCCAAAAACAGAAATTGTAGATAATTTGAAATATATTTGGAAGTTAAAGTGATCAGAAAAAAAAATTGTCCAACCTCTGAAGTATTTAATCACTTTTTTTTTAATTTTATAAAAAATCTCTCTCTCTCTCTCTCTCTCTCTCTCTCTATATATATATATATATATATCTAATATTTTACTAATTCACATTATTCCTGTAATCTCACATGACATTGCACTACACAACTTGAAAACTCTTCTTCTTGTAACTATTGTTATATTATGGAAGTCATGTTTATATATATATCACACACGCACAGACACACATATGCGTTTCAGATTTAATGTATCCCTGCACACCCCATTCCTTAAAACGCCAAAACACTCAGTAAACCCTTCATGTGTCGCTTGTTTGTGCAACGCCTTTCTATTTTTACCACAATAAAAATGATTCCCGCAGCATACAAACACACATCAATGCATGAAAACAAACGTTAATTCCCCATGAAGGGAGACCCGGACACTAAATTTAGCCATTGGAGGACGCAAGGGGGCAGAGCACGCCCAAGCAAAGAGATTTGAAATTTGAATAGGGCCCTCCCTCGAGAGGCCCAGGCCTGCCTGAGCTAGTGGTAGAACCAAAAGCACCTACCTACTAAAGCACATACACACTCTTAACCAGGAATTTGAATTAGCGGAGGAGGAGGGTGGGGGAGTAGGACTGGGCCTGGCCTCGTGCGCTGCTCCCTCTTCCTCCTCCCATTGTTTGTGCCATTCTGCACAATCCTCGCTTTCTCTCCTCTTCCCTCCTTCCTCTCTTTCCCTCTCTTCCTCGGGTGTCTTGTATTGTTTTGGCCATTGCCGTGTGGGATTGTGTCTTCTTCTGTGCTGGGAGTTGTGTTGGTGAGTAGTGGAGGGTGGTGTGCAACAGAGACTCGGAGTGGAGGAAGAGGAAAAGGAAGAAGAAGAGGAAGAAAGACCGAGTGGGTTAGAGAGAGTATTATTATGTACAAGCACCGTGCTTACTTACCGCGTGGGGTTCACTCGTCGTCGTCCTTCGCAAACCCAGCCAGCCCTCACACGTCTGTCTGCCCCGCTTCTTCTTAGTCTGCTGTGTCTCTTCCCGCTCTCTCACCTTTCTAGGGTTTCATTACGCCTTTGCTCTGGGATCCGGGCACGGGACGAGACAGGAGGAGACGGGACGGGAGGAGAGGAGAGGAGAGGAGACTCGAGGGGGAGTTTTGACGGGGGCGTTGTGCGGCGAGGGCGGTGCGGTGGAGCTTGTAGTCGTGTCGGGGAGCTCAAGTTTTGAGACCGCAATTGCGCGGGTTCGGGTGTGGATGAGTGATGGTGGGAGCTTAAGGGATGCGGTTCGTGGTGGTTTCCCGCGAGCGCGTGCGGTCGCTTGTAAGGGACCACTTGAGGTAGGGAAATTTAGTGGATACTGAAGCTGTTTTGGCGTTTTCCTCGGGAGAGGTTTCGGAGCGTTTTTTCGAGGGCGTTAGGAGAATATGGCTGCCGTTAGAGGTGCATTCGGTTAAGTGGTGCTCATTGGTGGTGCAGCATTTATCGGAGGGGGGAGATTCTTTTGGTGGAGATATATTCGGTGTTTTCAGCGGGAGAAATGTTGGTCTGGATGGTGGAGGTAGTTTGGGTGAGACTGGGGCGTTGAGGCTGATAGCATATGCAGTTGATCTTGAGGATCAGGTGGAAGGGGGCACACAGTGCAGCGGCGAGCCAAATCATGAGTTTGAAAGGAGAGGAAAACGAATAAGGAAGGGTTTCGAGTTAGATGCGGAGAAGGGACTTGGTCTTGAAGTTTCTTTTCTTAATCTGCTTGGAAGGTTTGAGGCGGACCGTGATCGACGTTTTGGGTTTGCTCGAAAGTAGTGGATGCAATATTGCTGGCGGTTACGCCCCGATCTCTGGGAGGTCCTTGCGTTTAAATATGACCTCACATTTTCACAGCTGCTGTCCTACATTATCGTCGTTGGCACGTTATTCTTGCTGGAAAAAGATTCAGATAAAGAGAATGCCTGGGCTCATTGTATGACAATGTAAATATAAATCAGTTCAAGTTTTCATGGATTTCAGCATCATCGTAGAAGATTGAATACCGCTACGTAACTGGTATGACTAAATGTCTCTGTCACTGACTACCCTATAGAAGCTTAAACATCCTTCCTTGTTTTCCATCAGTCTTCTCTAATGTACTGGTGGTTTGAAGTTTAAAATCATAGAGGATGAGTACCCCATTGGATGCCTCTCTGGAAACTCCCACACGCAGGTATCCAAAGCGATTGAAAGCTGGCAGTCCACTGCCTCCTCCACAACCGCCTCCAGTGAAGAGTGAAAAAAGGAAAAGAAGAGTTTCTAAACCTCTGGAACCGACACTGGAATCGGAACCTGTGCTGAAACTTGAGCCAGAACTTGAAGCACTGAAACTTGAGCCGAAACTAGAACCTATACTGGAACCGAAACTCGAGCCGAAACCTGAATTTGTACCCAGTTCGCCGCAGCCTCCTGCGGTCCAAAGTAACGGTGCTGAACTATGCTCATTACCGAGCGCAGACTCTTGTGAAAGAACCGACCCCCTCGCAGCCGGCTGCTTAGTGTCAGAGTTGCCTCAATCGTCTTCTACTCTGAAAGATGTGCCTGCTGCATCTCTTGCCGACCTGTTTTCTGTTTACAGCTATCTTAGGAGCTTCAGCCGTTTGCTGTTTTTGAGTCCATTCTCCCTGGAAAAATTTGTGACTGCGCTATGTGCCGGACGTGGAGATGGGCTTTTGGACAGTGTGCATCTCAGTCTACTGGAAGCTGTAAAGCGGCATAATTTGTCGACGGAGTCATCTTCATTTTTCGGGTAGGTCTCCTTAATTTCATGTAGCATATTTTCTTCTCAAAGGTTTGCGCAGTGTTTGTTCCCATTCGAACCGATAAAGTTCACTATTTTGGTAGTTCTGTGGCCATTGAGAGCATCCTTTTGTAGTGAACTTGCATTCCTTTCTATTCCTGAGATTATGGGTTACCTTCTTCTACCTCCCATTCACGAATTGGTTTACCCAATTATATTGCATGAATGCCAATGTAAAGGGATTTGTTATAATTTCTCACGGGGTTTTGATTATGCCTTCGGTTGTCGCAGGGATCTTAATTGGGACCTTTTAGATTTGATTACCTGGCCAGTTTACTTATGTTCGTTTTTAAGAACGCAAGGGTACAGCAAACTCCGGAAGCATAGCCTTGTGAAGGCTGGTTTAGGAAGAGGTGAGTACCAGAAACAAGTTCCAGTGGCTGAGAAATTGGCTATCTTAAGCTTCCTATGTGATCATGCAATACAGAATGAAGAGAGTCGGAAAGAAGTTAGCGTGCGACTTATGGCTGCTCATCAAGCTCTTATTGAGCACTCAAATCAAAGATCTGGAGAGGGAGATTCTGATTGGAGACCTCAGGATGCACGACATGATAGCAGGGGCCAAGAAACACCGCTTCTCAGGAAGGTTAGCGATAAACTGCTGAAAGACACAGAGAGAGGTGAATGGAGCAAGGAGGTGCAGCGTGCTGCGACAGCCCTTGGAGGAGACGGTAACAGTAATGATTGCATGCTATGTGGCATGGACGGTGTCTTGCTTTGTTGTGATGCCTGCCCAGCTGCCTATCATTCACGATGTGTTGGTGTTACCAAGGGGAAGCTTGGGTCGGGGGATTGGTTTTGTCCAGAATGTCGCTTTCCCTGTACAGGGATACCATACGCGAAGCGTTTGCAAGGAGGGGTGCTTTTGGGTATTGGCCCAAAGGAGCGTCTCTTCCTCTCAACATGTGACCACCTCTTGGTGTACGCTCCTTACCTCCATTACTAGCTTGTATTGCACATGCGGTCTTTTGTAGGTTGGATCTTTCCTGTTGAACTACCTGGGATCTTTAGTTATCAGTTATGGATTGACAGTTGGTGTTGCGAATTATGTTGGTTACTCTAGTCGGTAGGCTCTTAACAGGTTGTGATTAGTGAATAGAAATTCAGGGTCCTATCTCATTAACGCATTCTCGAACATTGGTTGTAGTGTCAATGCTCTTCAAGCGTGACCAACAATCTAATTCGTAATTTTGATTCAGTGCGTTTACTCTCAATGTCGGGCCATTTCCATTTTTTTAAAACATTACTTGCTTTATGCAATTGACAAGGCTCGAAATTAGTGCGGCCTATTAAATTATAATCATCTTAGTATCATAGTTCTGAGTTATCGTGCATCTTGTGATTACGTTAATGGGAGTCCTAAACTACTGCCTGGATTTATGCTACCCGACTTGAAGACTTTTCGAGCATGCTTGTGCTAGTTTCTTCAGGATGCTCTCATGGTTCTGTTTTTAGTATATATATAAATACACGGAAGGGGGGTGGGTTGGGGTTTGGGGTCGTGTCTACGTGTGCATCACTGCCACTGCTGTAGCTGCACTAATTTTAGTCATCAATCCGTGTTATCACCGGCACCTGCCTGTGTTTTCCTAAGGTTCAATCCTTGTATTGTGTCTCTGTGGGGTGAGTTGTTTCGTAAGTTGTTAGCATGTTGCTTTCAAATATTTTTTCAATGAACATTCCGAAGTAATTTAGTGACTAAAGTAAGTGTCGCACGCGAAAAAAGCTTCTGCTTTTTTTTAATTCCAGTTTCCATGAATCTTGTCCTGCAGGACTGAGGTAGGTGAGAAAGAAACGAGGTATTGGTATTATGGGATTGCGGAGTTGTCTTCAGTATTGAAGTTCTTGCAAACTTCTGGTCATGGATACTTCGAATTGCAACACAGCATTCGACGGCATTGGGGAATAGACTGCATTGCTAATCCAGAAATCGGCTCTGTGGAGGACCTAAAGGGCTCAAATGAGAAGTTTTTCTGCAGCCCTCTAAGGGCTCCCTTACCCAGATCCAGCGCAAAGAAAAGGAAATCAGAGAACAATGTTGGAAACGATGATCTGGTGCTGCTGGATTCTGCCTCGAATCAGACTCCCAAATCTGAAGGAAAATCCAGGACATCTAAAACGCTGGTGAACCCTGGCCCGTATGTGAATCACTATGCTCACGGTGATGCTGTTGCGACAGCAGCTGACACTTTAGCAGCCTGGCAGGGTGGGGGTGACCCGGCTTGGGTTCCTGGTACCCGTGCTCGAGGGACAGACGCAAACGAGCAAGTGAAAGCATTTACCCTCACGCTATCAGCATTTACATGGCCAAGTACTAGGAAACCTTTCAGTGAGAAGTGTGGATGGTGCGGACTGTGCTCTTCCAATTCTCGAGGTTGTCTGTTGGTTCAAACACAGCTACAGGTCAGCCGCTACGTGGATGATCTTAAACCATTAAAGATTTCGAAGGGACCGCGTCATTTGGGAACTGTGGCTGCGTATGTGTTGCATTTGGAAGAAACTCTTCATCCACTTTTAGAAGGCTGGCCGTGGGACTCTCCGTTGCAGCGCCAGCGTTGGCGGTCACGCGTGGAGAAAAGTCCATCTGTCTCTGTCATTCGAAAGGCGCTTTTGCAGGCAAGGATCCCTTTGCGATCTGAGACTTTTCTCATGCAAAGATTGCGCAGTTCAACCTGCTTCTCTAATTTTTAACGTTTTCCTGCAACACTGCTTTGTTCTATTGACCAAAATTAATGCTTGTCAGACTAATGTGGTTTTGTCTCTATTGACTCGAAATGCAGTTGGAGGCTGCTTTGCGACCAATTGCTATCTCAACAGACTGGGTTAAGCACCCAGACATTGCTCCATTGCTGTGGCCAGCTTGCATGGTTAAGAGACAATCTCTCCCCTGGTCACATCATAGTGAGGTTCCTCCAACTAGACAATGTGGTGCTCAATGGTGGCGAGGTGGCAAAGTAGCTCGTTTAATATGTGGCTGGGAAGCTCTTCCACGAGAAAACTTAAAGCAAGCTGCTCGTAAAGGTTAGTGAGTAACCACCTTTTACAGGTTTTCTGTTGTACCTTTTCTGATCCCTCATCGTACAATTTTTTGTTCTCCGTTTTCTGCTTTCTCTATTTCTTCCTTTTCAACCTATTTATATCTATGTTTGTTGAATCATTTAGTTTTTTCTCCTCTCTTTCTCTTCTTGCAGTTATCAGTTCCGTCTTAGTGGATGCACCTAAGCTTTGTTAAAATTGAGAGCACTGCCTATTTATACACCCTGCTGCTTATACGTATTGCCTGGTTCAGAATTGGTGCATCTGACAAATATAAGGCTACAGGGGGTGTGATCGCTATCTCTGGTCTCTTGTATAATGACACAAATGCTATCCCACAAAGGACAAAGCAAACTGCTTGGCGATCACGCGTGGAGACGGCGTCAAGTATTGCCGAGATTGGACTGCAGGTGACGAGCTCATGCCTTCAATTGAATTTTCATATTGGCTCCGATGAACTCTATTCTGTGTTGGTGCCCATGCTTGGGCATATCGAGGTCAAATGTTTTTAAGTATTCCAAATGATTAGATCACTAGGTCAAAGTATGTTTTCTAAGCACTTACTAACTTTACCCTGAACGTTACCAACTTCTCTCACACAGGTGCGGTACTTCGATTTGCAACTGAAGTGGAAAGAGCTTATGGCAGATCCTGGTGATATCGACACTCCGTTCATACATGAAAAATGTAAGGAAGATTGCGTCACGAAGTACTTGGTTGACATGACAAACGAAGAGATTGAAGCTGAAAAGCTTAACAAGGATAATCAGACTTCAAAGATGCAGATTGATTCAGAAGGAGAGAAGCAGATATGGAAGCCTGAGCAGCAGGTGCCTCTTTGTCAAATTAAATTGTATGAGAAGTTTTTTGGGGAGAAGTTTCGGAAACCCACCCCTGGAAAGAAAAAGAAGGTTGCAAACAAAGAGAAAGCATTAGGTCCATTAGAAAGGCGGACACTAAATGCTGTTTTGGATAAGCTCCTTGAAAAAATCAAGTTGGAGGATAGGAAACTCGAACTTGAAGCTAAGAAGCTACAAACTAGCAAATCTCCTTCTAGAAGAGCTGCGGAGAAGAGAACAGAAGCTTCCGCAGTCAGGTGTGCTGATTTTCTGCTGTAATGTATTGTGATATTTGATTTTAGCAGTTTAGAAATATGCATAGGTCTGATAAAAAATCTGCATCATAAGAATGAATTATCATCTTTCAAAACACTAAAGCAAAACCGTTTGAGAAATCTGTTGACAATCGTTGCTTACTGATGGCAGAGATCTTTCTTTAGAATTTGTCACATGAAATTCTGTTCATAAATCAGGACGACCACTATAGAGAGCTAGAAGATCTGCCAGATTCGAAATCTTGTATGGCGAATCTTGATGGGTCGTCTCAGATATTTCACAATTTACTGCAGAATAATAGTGACTTTCACTTAAGAATGTTTCTGATCTTATTCGTGATCGTTTGTGCTTACAGGCCACAATGCCAACGTTGCGCAGGTGAATTTTCTCACAATCACTCTTCATGGTCCTTAGTAAATTCCTTCGTATATTGTGTGCGATTTGGATACGTAATAATCAACCAGTTGTTCCTAGCTTAGGCTGTTATGCGTTGCAGCACAGAACCTCTGTTGTTTGTTCTTGCATCGTAACGGGATACTTGCATCACTCTTCCAAGTCTAATGTTTTTTTCTCAAACCTTCAACGATGGCTTCGTTGCCGAATTGACAGTGGTCGGGGGTTCACAGCTTTTAAAGTTTCGTTCATGGATATGTGCTATTAGCAGGCACAGCCTTGTCTAGCATAATCACTGAAGGGAAAGCTCATGGTTGTTTTCATGATTTCTGTGTTTTTGTTTTTGTGTGTTTTTTTTTTTTTTTTTTTTTTTGTGGCAGTTGTTTGTGATAAAGCAGACCTCTCCTCTGTGGACGGTATGCTGGTGTGTGGACAATGTTTGCAACAGAGCAATGGAAAGCGACTTCGAAAGCCGTCTGCCAAGGTCCTAGCTATGTTATCCAACGACGAGAGTGTGAAGGACGAAATCAGCCCAACCAAGGATGAAATTGGTAAGATGTTCACCAAGGAGGAGTCTCCTCCCTTGAAGCTGGAATGGAGTGGCACTTCACTCAGGAAATCTGGGCGCAAGAGGAAAAGAGTCAATCCAACGTTCGCGTGGAGTGATCCACATGATGGCTTAGATGATAGCTCTATCAAGACTGAAACTGGCAAGAAGCTAGCATGTCTTGACGCAGCAAGCTGCCGCTGACTGTTGTCATTTTAAATTCTGTTCTCTTGCAAGAAAACAGTATGGGCAATGGCGTGCCACTAATATGCTGCTGTTGCTTATGTGCATTAGCCTCAAGTTCGTACAAAGTCAGCATTCTTTGACAATTGATTGAACTCAGGATGATAAAGAGACTTCGTTATTTGAAGTTTTTTGAGTTCTCTGAGTGTTAGTTTTCGTTTTTGAGTTGGTTGATTCCCGCACTCTATTGTTTGGTTATCGCGAGTTGTTTCTGAAGCTTATGCTACAATCAACTCCATTGTCACAGTATTTTGACGTCTTTGATGATGTCCGATGTCACAACCATGATTCACTCGTTGAATGACTTAATCTCTGATTCTTGTTCGTACTGGATCATGATTTGATCCCTTTTTCAGCTCTGCTAAATCTGCTTCCTTTTTGTAGTCTAGGAACCTGTGTGACACCAAACACGGCTACATGTTATCTACCTATAATGTAACAGAATCCTTGTGGATTGTGGCATACATGGAGTTCCTCATTCTGGCGAATAGCTGGTTGTGGCAAACAGTTTCATGTGCTTTTGGTGTACAAAACACCAGTTTTATGACGTATGTTCCGGAATCCAGCATTGACGAGTACTCATTACGTTCTAGCATTCAGTGTGACGCAGTGGGTGCAACTTTGATTCTGATAGTGTTGTCCTGTAATCAAGTAAACTTCTGTGTATGGAACCAGACTGAACATCACATCAGAACATACAGAATTTTAACTATATATGTGTTGATTACTTTAGAAATTAAGAATAGAGTGGATTGTCTGAACGTTAGTATATCTAAAAAAGAAAGTGTGTTTTTGGGTGAATATTGCCTAAAAACTTAATTATGCATGTTTTTTTTGCATAGTAAATCTATTAAGTAACAAAATGTCAAATGCACGTCAAATGCAAATTTTAGGAAGCAATTAGTATGAATACTTAACATGTCTAGAATGCAAATGCATGACTCAAACATTAGATTTTAATTTATCTTTAGCAGTGATATGTTACAATACAATAATGGTTTTGAATGGCCTTTAAAAAACTGCATCGTTTATATGTTAGGTGGATGTTGACATTATAATGCTCCCTTTAAATTCAAAATTTAGATTCTAAATTTACAATGTAGAAAATGTGAATGAAGAAAAAAAATCCACACATAAAAGATCAAACACAAAATTAAACGTACAACTTTTTATTTTGATTAATTTGCAAATATCAATAATCAAAACTGTGAAACAAATCTTTTTATTATTTTTATCCATATACAGCAAAACAATGAATGACAAAAACATGTCTAAAAGTCACCTATATATGTCTTTGTTAACGTATGCATTCAATAATGCAATTACAAATCCATTTTGCACTTGACTTTTATTGAAGTATAGAGTTGATTCACTCGTGCTGATGTAATGAATCATAACTACTTTATTTTTACCAGAAACCCTAAAAACCTTGAAAAAGAAAAACCATAGAGTGTTTGAATATTAATATTTTTAAATAAATGAAGCAACCTACATCTTTCCACTTCATTCTGGAATTTCTGTAACCTAGCTGCTGGCAACTTTGAGACGCTATCTTAAACATCAAACAGTCATCATTCTTGCGGATTTGAGCCTCTCAAAGTATTAGGGCTCAGGTCTAGAACCCTAATTGTGGTGCCATGCCTTTATAAACCTTTGTAAGCCTCTACAATAATCAGCAGGTCGGAGAAGTGAGGAGACATTGTGCACGGCAATGAAATGAAAATATATAAATGCTTCATATATTATGACCAAGTAGGAAGGTTATTTCCACATCACTTCATCTATCTTGTCATTGCAGGCTGCATGTTAAGAACCGTGTTAAGCTGGCCAGAGATCTTCCTGGGATCACAAAGCTACTTGAATGCCCTGTGTTTTTGTATGCTAATATCGTGCCTGCGTGCTGCAGGTAACTGTGTGTTGAAAGGTTCCTTTCTTGCGTTAAAACCATTTTAGTGTTCACTAATTCGTGACTGAGAACGATTCTCAACCTCGTTTGGAGTTTCAACCTTGGAAACCTTCCTGCTAACCTGTGTGCCTGCGTCAGGGTAAATATGAAACTTCAGTTGTTTTACACTTTTTGCCAACCAAATAGACAAGACGTCGAGAATGGATTCCTTCCAAAAGTATCGCATGTATCGCCGTTCAATCGTAAAATCTGCAGTAAATTACTGGATCTTGTTGCACAAGATCATTCACCTCTAGATAGCTTCTAACGAGATAGTGGACAAACCATCAAGTGGAGTCGCATATTCTCCAAATGTTGCACCGTGAGAGGGGAGAAAAACTTTCACACTATTCACATCCATATTCTTGCTACATGACTCCACAATAACATCGTCCACCATCTTTATTAACTTGGCTTGCGCTCTGCCACATTACAATCAAAATATGATAAGAACACACTCGAATATTTATATGGGAAGAGAATAATAAAAACCCACCGAACTTCAATCACCAGGATAAATAAAACATGTTGAACGGAACCGGGAGCTGTATAAAACACACATGTGCAGTTTTCCATGGCTCCAAGGCAACCATGGTTGTCAAAGAAGCGTTAGAAATATAGGTGGACAATATTTACTTCTTCAAGTCGTCTTGAGCACGAATCAACAGTTTGAACACTTTCACGAGCTTCCGCGTCTTTGAAGCTAATCTGAAACAACACTCACCATTCCCGTATACACTTGATTAATAGCACCTCACTTTTTCAAAACAAAGGGTCAATCATATTAAGAATCTGCAAAATGTTAAACAAATTTAGCCAAGTCCTCACATTGATGATCCAAATCATCCAAAGAAATTTAGGCACATTTCATCTTATATACTAATCACGCAACATTTAATGGTAGCAAATAAAGTTTACAGACTGGGTATCAAACACCAAGCAGAAGCTTCATTAAATGGGAAAAGTAAAATGATTCCAATCAAATAAAGTTTTGTCACCCTACTCGATCAAATGTGCCCGCAAGTAGAGGAACGGCACTAAAAAATTAAAAACAGGCCGTGAAGTGCATGTCATGAGGTCTCTTGTCCTCATGACATTATATAAAATTCAAGGTACACCAGAACAAAGAAAGGTACCCTTTACATTCTTCCTGCGCCCCTGCTACTTTCTCATCCAGTATGGTGACTTTATCAGATAATTCCGTTGTCTCATGCAACTTATTCTCCAATTCCAACTGCAAACCAAAAATCATGGAACCACAACGAGTCTCAAAGTCAACGTTGTCCAAATCATTACCAAAATGGCTGATCTTATAATGAAACAATACGTCACTATGAAAAGAAGTCCGTACAACGCAACACTCTACTCAAAATTTATTCCAGCACTGTAGCAGAACAGAAATGTGATTGAAAAAGATTTGCGATTTCTAGAGCATCGACCCAAAAAGATCTCATAGTTCTATTACCTCCAGATCAGTCTTCTGATCCACTAAAATCTTGTTTTCATCGTGTGCTTCCGCCAGCTGCATCGTGCAATTCTCAACAATTGAGCCTTTTGGCATATAACATGTGAAGGTTGCTAGGATTCACCATGAGGGACTCCTAGCTTACACCACTACTTTATTGGTCACCATAGGAGTCATGCACATCCTTTGGAGCAATTTCGAACATCAACAGGACCAAGTGAGAGGGCAGTAGAAGGAAGAAGCAACGAATGACATTTGAAAGCTTGTTTAGGTTGTGCACACACACAATTCAAATATAACAGTATGTTTTACTCCATATCTGCATGGATCCTGCATCTCCGATCACACCAACTTGAAAACAAATTACCATCAAGCGTAAAACGCTTCCTGTCCACCACGCACAAATCTCAAGAGGTATTGTCATACTCTCATACAATCAAGCACAAAAGAACGGACCTCCACCACTTAATGCCCACCAGAGTCGCAAATTCGCCCACTGTGAAGAGCAGAGACGAAGAAGATAAGTAGTGATTGAGAGAACACCTGCCCTTCAAGGGAGTCCCGGATATTGGACACGTTCTTTGTAACTCGAGACTTCACATCTTTCTCAGCGCCAGGGCTGTCAGTTCCGAGATCCTCGGCTGAGACATCACTCAAATGTGGTTCGTTTGCTTCTATGTGTGCATTCTTGCTGTCCCTCCTAGTTCAATTCCATATCATACTTGAGCTAAATATTTCAGACCACAAACTGTGACTTCCCGTATTTTAGATATTATGCCCAATAACAGTGAGATACCTGAACTACAACGTGACCAGGGTCAATAATGTTCATTAGACGATACTCTCCTCCCAGGATTATAGCAGTAACTGACACCTAACGAGACCAATTTTTACGTGCAAGGAACACTGGAAACTTTAACCACCCCAAGGATAAAAACAAAAAAACAAGAAGGTTCATGCTCTAGGAATTCCAAGGTCCTTGCACAAAAACTGCATACACCGATGTAGCTCATGATCATTGAGATATAATTTTAATCTCCTAGCCACTGTCATGCCGAATATCAAGAGTGAAAAACTACATAACTCGATTTTTTGATTCATGAATTTCAAAATTGATGCAATCGGGTTTACAGAAGACCCTGGGTCCAAAGACAGCATACTACAACATCTTGTGAGGAGGGGAGGGGGGAGGGGAAATGGAACAGAAAAAACAGAGAAAAAAGAAGAAGAAGATATCAGAACAAGAACAAGAAGAGAAGAAAACATGAGCTAAAAGTCGAGAAAAGTGTTTTACACAAACATATAGGACATTTTGGTTTACATAGCAAGCTATTGGAATTAGTGGACTACCTTCTACACTCGGAGAGCTCTGGAGCAGAAGGAGATCTACTTCTCCTACGCTTCGTCGGAGATCGACTATGATCTGCTCTACGATCCAGTGCCCACCACCCACTCTAATGAGGACGTTATAGCTTGAGCATACACTCATGCACCAAACCTTAATTGCATATTATTTCTCGTTTACCATATAACGTCAGGCTACAGAAAATAATTCCCAGTCCATAGGAACACACAAGGATAACAACAATTGCGAGAAACTAAAAACCATCACATGAGCCTGCACCTTGAATAACATGGCAAACCATGGCAAGACAGCATACGCATCGATATTATTCTCAAGCGACAAACCACATTCAAACACAGACGAATCAGGTGAGCTTACCGCTATCTCTGAAAGGTGTCCTACGAAATCCTCGACTTCTTCGGTCTTGGCTGTGGGATCGTCGCAATCGATTCAAAGGAGAAAGTCTCTCAAATCGACTCCTCAAGCCGACAAAGCGAGAGTCAATGTGCCCTAAAGTTGTTTCACACATGTCAAACTTCGCATACAACCAACGCACAGCCCTTAAACACTATTGCGCAGAAATGAGATTACGACAAGTTTCAAGGACTTCATGAAGACGTACTTACCAATAGATGTGAAATTGACAAGACTGAATTTATGGAGTGCAATCTCCGTGCTTTTACAACATAAAGCCACCTCCCATAATAAAACTCCTCAAATCCAGATATTGGGAATAGTCAATATCAAACGAGCGGAAGGGAATTGACAATAATAATCACCGATAAAAATACGTCGTCGGGCCCTTTTAGGTAGACAGTCTAACACAGACTTGTGACGAAGAATGACCCCCGGAAGAGGAAACGAATATTACAACCAATAATTGAAGAACAATATCTTTATCAAAGGGGGGGGGGGGGGGAGGGCTTTTTCGCAAGCACGCACTCCGAGAAGCCATGAGGCATATGTTCAAGATACACTTCGAACGATCCTGCAATAAGATCTTGCAATAGCCACTGCATATGGCAGCCTATTCGGCCACTTTTTGCTCATTGGTGTGTTGGATCAGTTTCAAAGAAGCCTACGAGGTTTTCAGAAATTCAGCGATATTCTACCAATAAATGTCTCGAAGATGTTCACTATTGGTAAGTCCTTTACCAGAAGATGTGACATCGCTTAAATTTACAATATACAGAAGCTATACTTGAAATCTTCGGCCATCTTGAAGCAATTAACAGAGTTGCGGATATCCATCGCGACATGCCCATATGATGACGACCTAGAAGTTTGGGACGAGACTCTGATGAGATAAGCAGCCTCACCAGGCATTCGTCGGAGTTCCGCACCTCCATGAGCGAATGAGCAGCTCTGGCGCGGACACGATCCTCGATGCAAGTACAACGTACACAATTTCGTCTTGTACAGATCACGGTCTCGGCCAAAAGCCATATCGCGTACACCGATGGGCAGCGTCCTCACAAAATACGTTAAACAATAAATAAAATGTTGTAGAAGAACTTCCACTCAATACTCCTTCGCGGACACTGCTAAACGAACTACACCTTACAGCGTGGTGTATCAATAAGTCGCACCTGAATGTCTAAATCATATACGCACGAAAGTGGATTAGTTCCCCATACAAACAACACCACAAATTTCAAAAATCCAGAAATGAAGTAAATCCTACACGAAACAACCAAACACGCAGATTCCCGTATTCAAATGTCTTAGCTAACACGCGGCATGGCTTATATCTCAGCCTTGATCAATCAAGGCAGCAAGAGTCAATAATGTCCACCTTCTTAACAGAATTCCCCGTCGCAGCCGTTTATCGACGCCACACCAATCGAATCGAATCGGTACAATGTAAAACCAGAAGAGATACCTGATGAAAAATACAATGAAGAGAGGCGAGTGGAAAGACGCGGCGCAATTGAGCATGAGTTCCACCAAATTAAGACGTGCAGAGAGCCGGACAGGCAAGGAAACGAAGACTCCGACAAGCGAACGAGCGATCGAGAGAGACGACGTGAGGCGATGCGAGGCAGCCAACGAATAAACGAACGAACGAACCGACGAACCGACGAACGAATGCGCGCTAGCGACGTCGATCGAGGTCCTATTACTGCAGTTCAATCCCTTAACTATTTTGGCATCTGGATCCTTTGGCACGTGATTCTTTTCTGTGCACAGACACTGCTGGTCGCCCGCAAACGCGAGTCACTATCCAGCGGCGGAGCCCGAGTCCCACATGCGCAAATTCCAGTGTGTTTTTGTACAATTCTTTTACACAAATCACAATATTTTTATAAATATAAAATTTTAAATACAATATTGGATTTGCAAAAAATAAAAACCAACCATATTCATCATGATTACCATATTCTTCACTAAAAGTGGATCTATTTAGTGAAAGCATGGGTCTATTTAGCATTATCCTATATATATATATATATATATATAACTTATGAGAATTTTTTTAATTGTGCTTTATTTTATGGTAAGTTAAATTCCTTACATATTATTTTCAAAAATAATCAATTAAAAATAATTAATAATTTGACATTTGTATTTATAAATAATTCTTTCATTAATTTATATCCAATATTCATCTTATAATTTCAAAAACCTTTTGTCATTGGTATGCATGTATATAAAAATTCAAATAAAATAATAAAAAAAAGTCACAATGAGAACCAAGTTTAAACCTTAATTAACTATATATATATATATATATATATATATATATATATATATAAAATAATTCTTAATTTTTAATTTAAGTACTATTTACAAGTATTGGTCCCATGCTATATAGAAAATTGCTACAATAATCTTTTTAACGGAATTCAACTTCATTGAGTACAATGAAGAGATTTAGCATTAGAGTATATATATATATATATATATATATATATATATATATAAGAATTAGAATTAGATAATAACATGATACCAACCATACATTGTGTAGAGTTTATACATGAAGGAAGCAAAGAATGTCTATAAATTAATACAAGAAAAAAAATAAAATAAAATAAAATAAAAATAGAACAATATTAGTTATAAATACAAAATAATCTTAGTCAAAGTTTTTTTTTTTATACTACAAACTCAAAGCATTGTATCTAATAGTCTTTATACTTAGTAAGTGCTTATCTAAAGGCTTCTTACAAATATATGGTAATTTTTGCATCAAATCAAACTTAAAGTTATAAAAATTGGCAAATATATGATTTAAGCAAAGATGGATTATTTGGCTATTTTGTCAATATTGTTTGTTTTATGAGAAGTAAACCTTTCACACAAGAAAATTTTTAATGCTTATTAAAAATGGATAAAATAATATAATAAAATATTTTTTATAAAATATTCCTAATAAATAATTTTTATCAGAAATTTATTTAAAATATACCATAAATAAATATTAATATTATTTCTATAAGTAAATACAATAGAATTATATATATTCCAAACATGGAATTGACTTTTGAATTAAATGCTATCGATCTATGTAAAATCTACATTCTACAATAATAATATACTCTTTCAAAATCCTAATATAAATTACATCCAAGAATCTCTTATATAAATGTTTTTAGTCTCTTTATAAGTAACAACCTATATTACTATGTTTTTTAAGTGGTTAAAGCTATAAACACAGCCTAATTTGCTATATACATACCACAAATTACTATATGTATATCCAAAAAACATAGAGGCTTATAATTGGCTAGATGTTTTTATGTTGACCTTACTACTTGACACAACTGCAAGGAATTAGAGAAAGCAGTAATCCTCCTTCCAATGGTCTTATTGACTACTCATCAGGCAAAATCAAGGAGCCTCCAAAAAAAAAGTCCTTAGAAGAAAATTTGAAATTTACATCTTATACCAGCTATACTTTGTTGAAGCAAAGATCTCTACTTTATAGCAAACTTTACCAAAAAAAAATTCATACTTTATATTCACTTCAATAATTTGCAACATTGTATCAATTTTTATAGCAATTTCAATAAATAATTTCAAGTACATATCCTTGGCCACCAAAGACTGACACTTAAATCTTGAGTAGAGGCCGATCAACCAACAACTACCACAAACACTATCAGTTGTAGTTAAACTATGTAGAAGGATCCATAGTTGCCAAGCATTGAACATTTCATTAACAACTTTGAAATTAACCAGTTTTTGATTCATCATTTATTTGTGAATCTCATTTTATTATTTTATTCATTAAAGTAAGCATGAATAAGATACTATTTATTAATAATGGCCAAAATGGTCATTCATGACTAGACACACAATTTGCCTTCAATCACAAGTGGCTTCTTGTTCATTGCATGTTCTCTTATAAGTGATACTTCCTACTCTTTTCACATATTAGAGGTGGAATTTGAATACTTGAATGGAGCAACATCTTCATAGAAAGCCAATACCTTTCTAGTGTAAAAATCATGTTAAAAAGTATAATCATTAGATGAGTTGTGTCACTATTCAACATATACATATATCTATAAGAATTAGTTTATTTACCTATATATATATATATATTTTGCACTCTAGATCGATATTATTAACAATTCAGCAAGTCAATAAAAACACAAAGTTTTAGACTAATAAGTGAACTATATTACATTTGTAAACACATATAGTCAATGAAATGTATAGTGTAGTGGAAATTGGAAAAAAAACCACTAGTATAAGGTTTAGATTTTAAATTTTCTTTTGAAGGCTTTGTCCTTGATGGCCCTTGCAAGGAGTGTTAACCAATCAATGGAACCTTCAAAAGGAAGGAGTTGTTGCCTCTTTCACTTCCTTCAAATTGTGTGAGGTAGTAGGATCCATATAAAAATACTTAGCCAAATATAAGCCTCCACGTTTTTTGGATATGCATATAGCAATATGACTTGTGTGTATAGCAACTTAGGGTATGATTGTAGCTTGAGCCTTCTTGAATAGAGCCATGATACTAAGAATTCTCTGAAATTAAGATTTTGTATTGATATTTCTTGAATAAATAAATAAATAGAAGTTGAAATAAATATTTAATAATAAAATAATAAAATAATAGAATAATAGTACTAATTAATTAAAATTATCTTTTAAATATATATAGATTGAGCTTGCATAATGTACAAAAGTACAAATACAAAAGAACTTGCATAAAAAAGATAACTAACCATACATCCAAAATAAATTCAATATAATATTTATAACTTTTTTGTAAATAAAGATTTTCATATACAATAGATTAAGTTCCAAAAATCATCATCAAGTATTCAATCAAAAATCAATTAAAAATGCATAAAAAATATACTTTAAAAAGAAGACAAAACATCTAAATACCACAAATTAAGCTATCTTTTATGCTACAAAGAGGGAATTTAAGAATGCAAGAAAATAGAAAAAATAATACAAAAGTTATTAACATTGGATAGAGATGAAAGCAAGAAGTCACAATGTCACAAAGACCATGCCCAAGCTACGATCTAGGAATATTATAATCTCAACATTTTGTTCAAATATAAGTTGACCAATTAGACGAGGATGACATCTAATTGCTCAACACCCCTTCGACATCCTCGAGCATCTAAGTCATAGACAATGCACAACACGAGGTGGAAAGCTTACAATCACAATTCAAGGAAAAAAATTGTATTATACTCCAACAATAGGACAAATTTATGGCTCTCAGATATAATCAAGCCACAATAGAAGGCAAATTATAAGAACTAGGGAACAAACTTCAAGAGATAAGTCAAAAACATGGGACCTGAAGGCCTTGAAAAATACCGCCCAATCTTAAGTTAAAGAATTGCAAGCATTCCACACTATGCTAGAAGAGATGCAAGTTGCATCCAAATTCCAACTAATGAACTACATATACATATCAAGTAATTTCATGAAGGTGCAAATTTGCCTCATATATCCCTTGTACAAATGGTCAATTTTAAAGACCAATTGCTTATTTTAGATAGCACATTTGACCACAATTTTGATATACTTGAAACTTGCACCACCTAACCAATGTCTTTGATGTGGAATAACTTGCAGCCTTAGCCACTCAATATATGTTCAATAATGAAGGTGCATGCAATAGTGATTTGGACAATAAAACCAAGGATGTATTCAAGGCAACATGTATAATCTCAAAATATTTTACCAAATATTCACACTTCATAGAATGGTATACCATGCACATCAACTTAGTGTATTGTTTATTTTACAAAAAAATCAACAACTAAATTGGTTTCTAACATCTATTTACATGCATTGAAAATCCATAAAAAACATCATTATATGCATCACGGATTTGCTACAACAATATGAAAATTATATAGTCATAAAAACTACTTCACATTGATCAATCTTGTTCTTGCAAAATGACTCTAAGGATTTTCTTGTGTTATAAATATCATGAGGACATGATGTGAAATACCTCAAGGGATGAAATATTATTCACCACAGGTGACTACATCCGCTTGCAAAGATATTATCCATCCAACAAACTTGTATTCACTTGCAGATGATAATTGCCAAAGTATCCCAATAGTACAATGTCAAAGGAGTAATAAATAAAGAGATAAGATGTTATTACAAGGCTACCAAAGTTAATGAGGATGTGATAAGGTAGAAGGATATTTAAGGGTTGGAGAAAGTATGTTGGGATAGTTGAAAATTAAAATAATATTTAGTAGATCTTGGGCAATAGTACCACGAGCTAAGATAGTATTAGGCTAAAGGATGTGTAATTTTGATTGAATAATAAATAGTGCATTACTTTCTTTTCAGATCATTGTGTACTTTGTGTTTGGTCTTGTCCTATGATTGCTAGTAATCCCAAAAAGCCCAAGTAACATATAGGTTAAAAACTTGGCCTACAAGTTGGCTGCATATCACACATGTTGGCCACTTATAATACAAATTGGCCATGTGGCACATACAAAGGAAGCTTGCTTTGCAAATTATATATGTATTTCATAAGTTAGACACATGTAAGAGATTCTATAGAACGTCCATATGTAGCTCTTCTTTAAATAATATATATAGATGCAAGAGTGAGACATTTTTCATTCTTGTCAACTCATTTCTTGCTTTTAGTCTAGTTTCAAGAATCTTTTGTTTTCTAATCTTTGGCAAAAACTATTCTAGTTTCTTCTTAAATATACATATTTTTTATTTTATTTTTATCAACTATCTTTAATATATGTCTTACTTATTTACTTACATTCTTTGAGCTATTGTTTTTAATACTAAATTATTATATTTAAGCAAAATTTTACAACAATAAGCTTTCTTTTTCGAAAACATTGACAAGCCTTGACTTCACAAAGAATGCCAAGTCAAAAGAGCTTTTCCACCTAAAACTTTTAAATCATAGTTGACACTAAGAAGACCAACTAACATAAGATGCAAAATGAATGAAAACTCTCTAAATTAAAGTAGACAGCATAAACTAATGTAGTCTATTGGTTACATCTATTTAACATGGTTTAGCACTTGATGTCATATCATGTGATATAATTCAGTAGTGGAATCAAAACCTTAATATTATGTTGATTATAATGGCTAGATTCTAATTTATAATATATATATATATATATATATATATAATATTTTATTTTAGATCTTATATTATCTCTACTTATATTTATATATATATATATATAAATATAAGTAGAGATAATATAAGATCTAAAATAAAATATAAAATTGAGATTAAAGTGTAAGTTAAATATAAAAATTCTTATTAATTGTTCATGAGAAAGTAAGAATTTTGGATAGCTCATTGCTTAGAATGTTATATATATTACCAATATACATCTTGGAAGAGTAAAAATAGTACAAATGCATCTTAATAAGAAATATCAAATAAAATTATTTAAAGATAATTATGAATAATGTATTACATACATATCTAGAGTCAATGTTGTTGTACTGTGATAATCTGGAGTTAATTACAAATGCAATTGTTTAATAACATACACTCTTAATTCAAATTAAAATATAAACCATAAGACTAGTTCTATAAGAAGCTACAATTTTACATCATAACTCTTATATTTGTAAAATAAATAGACAAAAGAAAGTAATAGCCAAAATTTTAATAAATATTTAAAGTACATCACAAAATGAGATTTTAGATCAACTTGATGGTTTAAAATATGAAAGACACAGATTAAAAAAATTTAAAAATAAAATAAATGAGGCTCAATAAATGCAAAATCTTTTATGCAACTTGTAATAAGTTAATTTAATATGATTATTAATTTTTTAATATTGATAGATTTCATATATTAAATTAAATTAAAAAATATTAACAAAAAAAACTTTAATATATGAATTAAAGATTTTAGATATTTAAAGAAGCATCTAATAATTTTAAGCTTGTACTACAAAACATATTAATTCACTATATTTTAAATACTTAAAAGAATTTCCTTTATGATTGCAATAATTATCTAAATTGTAGTATTTAAAAAAGATTATAGAAGACTTGATTCTTTGTTTAGCCTTTAAGTTAATATATTATTTTGTATATATATTAAAACATAAAAAAATATTACTAGTATCTAATAATATATATGCATATTAAGTTTAGAACCAACTAAGAGTTTTAAAATAAAACAAAGACCAACTATAATTGATATATTGTCATAAAAAATATCACTTATACTATAAAATCCAAAATAAAAAGAATTTCTAAGATTATAAAAGCTATTAATTTTAAAAAACCAAAAAAATCAAAAATAATTATACTAGTTATTGATCCAATAAATACTATTCAATTTTATCCCAATGCTTATTATTAGTCTATTAGAACATACATATAGGCCAAAATAGAACCAAATTACTACAATCAACTTTAAAAAAACAAAAAAAAAAAAAAAAAAAAAAAAAAATCTTACTATTTCCAAATAGAAAGATAAGTCAGACTCCAATTTCACCTTTAGAATGGCAAAAAGTTCGATTCAATCAAAATTGGATAATTTGCCGTGTAAGAATCATACCAGACAATTGGAAACCAAAATCACATCCAAGAATTTCCTTAGACTATTGTGAATACACACCATTAAAATCAAAACCAAAATCCAACAACAATAACAATAATACCCCAATGAGAGAACTCAAAAGTCTGAGGTGGGGGGTGGTAGAAGCGAAGGCAGGAGATGGGAAGACGGAGGGATGGAAGAGGCAAAATGCAGAAACAGCTCAAATGCCGAAAAAGAAAGCGGGTGGAGATACGAATCCTCACCCAAACAGACAGACAGACAGAAGCATCCAGAATCTCCTCACAGTAGACACACACAGCAGGCGTTGGAATGAAGGGAGCGGGTTCCAACGAGAGAGAGAGCATGGAATTGTGAATCCGGTCTGGAGAACGTGGACCAATGAGTCCTCTCAATCCTATCCAGTGATAAGAGCCACACCCAGCGAGCGAGCCAGAGAGAGCGCCGCAATCAATCAAGGCCAGGGCCAGGAAAGCCAGGAAAGCAAGGCAAGGCTAGACGAGAGGAGAGGAGGTGAGCACGGCACCACCACTACTACCACCACAACACTCCCTCGCTCATTTGTATCACTGTTCCCTCGTTTCTGAATTGGGTTTTTATTGTCTGTGAGCTTTGCGGGTGGCTAGGGTGTCGGACGAAGAAGAGTAGCAATGGTCGTAGCAGCAGCTCCCTCCATGGCGGTCACGTTGCCGTGCGTCACCGGGATGCAGATCACTGGTGCTGCTGCTACTACCAGTAGCGGGGCGGGGCGAGGGCGCGCGTCGGGCCAAATGTTATCCTCTTTAAGCTCTGGTGGGTTTTTTTTTGTCGTTCTAGCTCTGCATTTGGGTTGGAATTGACGATGTCGATTTGCTCGCATTGCTGTGTGTGTAACCAGCCTGGTCCTTAGGATTGGAATTGTGAGACCTGTGGTGGGGAGAAGTCTGTACCTGAATTGCTGATGTGGGTTAGAATTTTGGTGTCAGTCGGAGTCGTAGTTAGGCAGAACGAAAGATTGGTCATGTCTTGGCATTGCCGTGCAGAGCTGGCGTGGCTATGGGAAATGTACTCTTGTCTGAGTAGTTGATGCAGAAGCTGCTTAGATACCTCGAAATTGGTTTCGCTGGGGTTGTCCGAGATTCTGTACGTACAATTGCTGCATTTACCAGATTTTCTTTTTCACTTGTGGGAGGGGAGGAAGGGAGGGATTACTCACTGCCATAAATTGGAGCCAGTGAATTGACTGTTTTACAGTTATGTGAAAATTGTTACCGCATTTAGGATAAGCACCAAATGACGGGTCTCCAGCGCATCTAATGGTGATCAATTATGAGTAGGAAACGATGAAGAAGAGTTGTATACTCTCAGGTTCATGTATGATCATCGGATATTATCAAGAGTACATTATTTCGCAGTGGGCCGTTGAGCATTTACCTAGTGTATTACTTGCCACGAAGTGGTGACCAGTATCCTGCACATACTTCGCCCTACTAGCTGGAAGAGGCAAAACTCTTTTGTGTAGTGAAGTAAACACTTCCTTGCCCAGAATTCTCATTCTTCTCTTGGTTGATTGCTTGCAGGATTAATTTGCCGAAGTGCAGCCACAAGCAGCGTGCGCTTAGGATTCGCTGGTAGCGTGAGCGAGCTCACATCAGCCCTGCAGATGTCTGATGTCAGTGGTGGAAAGACGAGCAGATCGGTAGTGACCATGCAGGTGAAGCCAGTGCTCCAGTTCATCCGAGGAGTAGACGAACGCAGTGTTCCTGAGATCAGGTTGACAAGATCCCCAGATGGAACCAATGGCAAGGCCATTTTCGTGTTCGACCAGCCGTCAGTCTTCGACTCATCTCGGGAGCTTGGAGACATCACTGGCCTCTACATGTTGGACGAGGAAGGTGTCTTGTCCACTGTCGATGTAAGTGCCAAATTCCTCAATGGCAAACCATCCAAGATCGAGAGCCAGTACATCATGCGCAACACCACCGAATGGGACCGGTTCATGCGCTTCATGGAGCGCTACGCTAAGGAGAACCAGCTGGGGTTTGTGAAGAGTTGAATCCATTATTTTTATTTTATTTTTATTTTTTGTTGCTTTAGTAACCAGCTTATTCCCTGGTTCGAATTTTGTTTTTTTTTACTACCGTAGTCCCTCAAGCCGGTACTTCCCCAACCATGCTTTTGCAAATTCATCATGTGCACTAGACCATTCGAGGTTTCCTTAGGAGCTCTTTGTCTTGCAGAGAACTGCACGCTGCCATAGGCCTAGTGTTTTTATTTGCTGTACATCAGAATGCACATCTTGTAACTGATAGAATGAGTACCACTTGAGATTCTTATGAAACCTTCTGCTGCCCTTGCTTTTGGGTGTGGTTGTTTATTGTTATTGTTTTTGGTTCTCTCTGTCTGCATTGTCTGTTGCCTTTGGACAATGCATTCTCTTCCTTCTCCTCTTCGCTTTCGTCTTTGCTACTATGAAGTTGGCATCATCCTTCTTTGTCGTGTGAGATGTTTGCTCATCCTAACATGTGCTATCCGAAGCGAATGAACCCAGTTGTGGATTACTACGTTTCTGTTCTTGAAATAGTAAATATCTCGCTGTCGGTGATAATGAGGGTCATAAATCTTTCCATTCCTGCCTTGTGGATGATATGGTTTCTTGTTCAGGCCAAGTAATATGGGTGTAACGAAATCAAACTTGGAAATACAGCGGTTTACTTTCGTCATTCTTAAATCCCAACCCGGTTTTAGTCTCTTTTTAAAAAATAATTAACTATTCAAGAAATAAATCTTACTGTAGGAGAGTGAATCCAAATCTAGAGATACAAAAAACTCCAAAAGTCAATTTTTGAACACCCATGGTGCCATTTACTTCAATTGTACAGGCATGTAGATTATTGTGGTCCCATAAATTAATGCCCTTCATTAATTAATGCCCCAAAAAATAACAATGTTCAATGCTTAAGTATGATTTTGAGAACTAATTTTATTCTATGGTCCACAATAAATAATGCAAAAAAAACATGTTTACACCAAAAACAAAGAATGGCAAGTTATAGAGGCTTAAGTTCATTATACACTCAAGATTTCAAAAGAAGCATTCAAGAGTGCAAGAATGGAGGATAGATTGAGCTAAACTTAGTAAATATTTCTTGTGCACTTTGCTACACAATTATCCACTTTGTCTTTGTTCTTTATAAGATAGAAGTAATTCAAGGTGTAAGCAAGCTTTTGGTATGATTTTGTAAATGCAAATTTTTTCTATTGTTGATAATGATGTGGCATTTGGATTTGAGGAGCCATTGCAAATGAAAAACCAAAATGATTTATAAAAACAACATTAAATGCACTTGCTCATAATTGAGTCCTTAGTCCAATTATACTTGCAATAAGTGTACATCTAATTAGACCAATAAGAATTTTAGTAATTAAAGCCTAATCACAAAAGAAGACCAATATGAAAAAAAATATTAGAAAATATTAGAAAACACCTTTTCATCAAAATTTCAGAAATCATTTATTCTCTTCAACAAATTCTGTTAGAGACATATTTAACATAAGTGTATAAATATCAAGATTTTAAAGTTCATATGAACTGCAATACATTCAATTATCCTACATCAGGGAGCACTCTAAAACATCAAATAAATAATTCAAATACTTGAATGATGTTATAAAAGTAATCTGTAGTTGTGCAAGATTTTTTTTATTAAAAAAAATAAAATTAAAATTTCAATAAAAAAATATTTTCTAATCATATTTTAATTTTTCGAAGCCATTGATTAAAATTCTAATTCATGATATTGAGTACTCAAATTTCCTCCTATAAATTGGATTTTAGACATATTTAAAAATAAATATAAATAAACTTTCAGAATTAGAATCTAAATAAGAAGAAACATTTTGTATTTTACACCACATCCAATAAATAACTAAACATGCTTTTTTTATCAACTTAGTTATTTAAAGACACACACACACACAGAAGGAGAAGAATTATTATACAATTCCAAGGGCTCGGAAAAGGAGCATCAGAGTGACGCGGCAACGGTCCTGTGACCACGACACGGTCAAACCCCCCACTACCACCGGAAAGGAAAAAAAAAATAGGGAGGGAAAGAAGCCAATATGGCAAAAGATGAGGGAAGAAATAAGCCACCCTGACAGGGGTAACAGAGGCAGGGCACCTTGAAGAGCGAGCCCAGCTGCTGAGGAAGGCACACGGGAATGGCAGGGAAGAGGGGGGGGGGCATGGCAACTTTGTCGAGGAGGAGCAATAGTTGCTATTATGGCGTGCCGCAAACGATTCCTCGATTCCGCGAGAGAGCTGGACTCGACCCACAGTAGCATTTCGCATCTGTAACGCTTCGACGCTGGCTAATTTGACTGGAACCGGGTTGTGGGTTGGGAGTTTTTCATGACCGGAGGGTGATGTTGATCGGCTATGGCGTTGTTGCGGGGACGGTGGTGTTGTAGGGAAGGGCTGGAGGTGAGCCGACGAGGGGGTTTGGGTGTGGGAGTTTGGGGAGTAGGGTAGAAGGACGACGACGGGGAGGAGGAGAAGGAGTAGTGCGTGGATTTTATTTTATTTTTTATTTTATTTTTTTCCTTCTTATTTTTGTTTTGTTGGGAATTTTTTTAGTGGCGTCGATCAGTGATTGATCGTTGTTGTTGTTGTTGGTGGTGGTGATGTGGGATTGATTCCACATGGGTGCCCCGCCGAGTGTTAGCATTAAGAGTGAGGGATCGGAGGGTACGGCCATGACTGGTAGTAAAGGGACGGAGGGGGGTGAGCGCACTCATGGTCTTCAGCTTCTGCTGCACGATACGGGTCTTGATTTGGAGTGGAGTCCCTCGGAGCAGAGCATTCTAAATGAGAACCTCGTCAAGTGAGTTCAACCATTTTTGTTTATATATATATATATATATATATATATATTAAATTTCGCCGTGAATTAATTGTGCGTCTGCTTGCTACGTTTCCCTCAATTTGATTGCCAGTAGTTTTCCCATGTTTGTCAAGGGTCAAATGTTCTTAAACTATACTGACTGCTCTACCTTGTTGTGACATTTGATTGAGAGTTTCATGGAGGAATGAATTGCCTTTCCTTACTCCATTTGAGGTGATTTGAATAAAAAGCATTGGATTAGCTGGTAGTTGGCAGCCACGGTTAGTTGATCAAAGTGCGTGTGCATTGACAGGTTTGCTAATGAGTCGAGCAGTATGTCCAAATATGTCAAGATCGCCGCTCTGCTGCCGGACAAAACAGTTCGTGACGTTGCTTTGCGATGCCATTGGCTCTCTGTAAGGGTTTCTGAGCAATCGGAATCTGTTCTGCACTGATGGGTCTATTCACATGGAGCATTTAAGTTGAAAGTGGCTCTGAAGAATTCCATAGTAAATAATGCCGTAGGCTTTTCGGCCTATGCATGTCGTAACTGGGTTTGGATTGCGGTCCAGTATGTTTATAGCATTTCATTTTAGCTGTGGACACATGTTTATCTCATGTCAATGAGTGTTCAACTCCGAACTCGAATTGTGCAGAAAAATGAAGATGCCAAGCGTAAGTCGGAAGAACTCGCTGCTAAAAGTCACAACGACCAGAAGGTGTAATCTTTGATCCATTATTTTAATTTTTTAATGCTCCATCTACAGAAGGTTAGAGGTTCATCCACATGCTTTGGATAATATTTTGCTGTTCTGAAGAATTATAATCTTAGCATTTGGTTGAGGGCGAATTTGCAGGCGTTCTACAAGCAGGGACATTCTGCAGTACCCATGTATACTGCACCCCTTCCACCAATGGAAACTGACGACGGCATTTCCTTTGAAGGTCTTCGATTGTGCCAAGGCATTAATTCTTATTTCTTCTTGTGTGGATACCATTTATTGATGTTACACGAGTTGTTCAACTTTACTCATTATCTTCTTCTTCTACTTCTTCTTCTGTTATTTTATTAATATTATTATTTTAAAATAAAATCTACATGGGAGATGTTTTGTGCTGGTAGCGGTCGATGCATAATTCTAAGATTCATTTTGAAAGCAGCCATTGGCGGCACAACTGGCAAGCTTCTCGAGGTGAATTCTCAGGCGATCTTGAAGATCAGAGCAAACCTTGCTGCTTCTCAGGTATATTTTCTGATATCCTTAGTCTCAACTTTGAACGCCGCTTCCTTTCCAAGTAGACGTTGTCAGCGGACTCTCTGCTAGGTGGATTGGCTTTTGTCTACTTTGTGCAGAAGCACTCATCACTTTTTAGATATCTTTCTTATTTGGATAAGACTGTTTGAAGGAGAAAGGACTTTTAGTATGAATATGAATTCTGTAAATTTAGTAATTCGGCCAGCAAAGAATGTTGGCTGTGGGTATATTGGTTGGACTGTTTCTAAGGCTATGGCTTGTACAGGCTCAAGAGAATACGGACTTATTGGTGCAGGTTAGGGATAACATCTATGCTATTTTGAATGGGTAAGTTGATTGTGTCACAGGAACACATTTAATTCATCGCCAATGCTAATTGTTGTCGGACCTTGGGATCCTTGGCACTGTGTCTATGAGTGGCACTAAATTGTTGTTCATCATCATTTCTTGAAGATAATCTTCTTCGATGGATGATTTACATATTCTGTTTCTTTATACGTCCTACAACTGATAGAAAGACGCTTCCTTGTTTTCAACTGGTGCAGAATGATGTCCATGCCAGGGATAATGAGCCAAATGCCTCCCTTGCCAGTGAAATTGAACTCAGAGCTGGCAGACAGTATTCTTCCTCAGCCTACACCTCAGCCGTCAGCAGCTTAGCATTTGAAAGTGAAGAAATTTGCAATTGCCATCAGCTACTACAAACTTATTATTGAAGGAGATAAAGGCTCGTCTTTTTCGCCACAAGTGCCTTGTATCGTACAGGGACTACACCATTGGATATGAATGAGAAACAGTGGCTCACTACAGGGTAGTATGCGAAAAGAGACCAAAGTGTTCGACATCGAGTCATATCTGGTTGTATCTAGTGTTTTGGTCCGAATTATGAATGAGAGTTTCTCAGATAAGTGGTGATCTACACCGGGCCCTTAGTATCTAATTGAAAGTGAATTTGGACATAGATTTTTTCTTGTATATTTTTTCTTTTTTTAATATAAAAAGGATAGTAAAGGAGAAAACTTGTATTCGGTTTCGTGCTTTTGAAACCTCAAATGGCAGATATTTGATAATCTTGGATAACGTGCTGGAAATTTACAGTGATTCTTAGACGTATCGTTGATGGATGAACATTGATCAGGACTAACCTTCAGTTGTAATTGTGCGCTATCAACCTTAGTGAATGTCTAGTGAAGCTTACAGTGGGTGCCAGCAAATGGGGGCAGGACCGTTATACTTGTTAACTTTGCAAATATATTAAGATTACATATAACTAAAATTACAAGTTTATCAAAAAAAAATGAAATGAAAACTCGTCTTTTCTCTACATAGAAACTATCACATCATTATGCAACTTCTAATGTAACATTTAAACCATGTATTTATAACTAATAAATGGCATCGTTTAAAACGATGTTCAAATACCAACAAATTATTGCTATGCTTGGTTCGTATGATACTATAAAAGAAGCAAGCAACGATGTAGCGGCATCATCGAAGGCGATCAAACCAAGTAAAAGACAAAAATCACTAAATATGCATAAGTAGATCCTTTCCAGGTTAGAATAAGTCAAATAAAAAATTGTAAGATAACGAATCTATATATTACATTTCAATCCATAAAGATTTAGAACGAAGTAATGCACGTGTGAAATTCCGACATTGTGATGCTTATTACTGAAATTTAACCATCCAAGAGAATTTCGGGACGATACTGCCATGTTTCAAACAAATATTGCAATAAATCTAACTTTTCTGGATTTGTTGCAAAATTTACAATAATGGAAAAATGACAAAACCTTGAATTTAATCTTACTCCTCATGATATTGGTCACCTTGCAGATTGTATAAGCTCCTACGATCTCAACAAAACCAAAATTTCAAGAGCATGAGAGAAAGCCAAGGACCACATTGTGCTGAGCTGCAGTCTTGGCTACCTCCCAAAATAAGAAAACGATAACACTGCTGAACCCATTTTGCTTCGACATCAAAAACTGAAATTAACTGCAGTACACTTGGTTTACAAAGGGTCTAACATCATCTCATGCTGTCTGGTCTAAGCTCATGGGGTCCACCTTCCGCTAGAAGAAAACGCCAGAACTTGAGACACATGCCCCCTAAATTCCACCAGATCATGTTAAAACTACATAACACTGTGATAACACGAAACAATCACTCCTTACAATCTGCTGCTTCTAAGGAGTTGACCTGCATTAGGTTCCTCCCAAGGTATGCAAGTCTACATCAAACATTAATAACAAGATGAGATGGTTCATATGTAGTGAACAGTACCAGAATACTAAGACCCTGACCAGGAGTAGCTTCGAACCAAAAACATCTACAATTAGTCCTAGAAATAGAACAAGTCCACTCCAGAAACCAGAGCAACCACGTCTGTTTTCGACAATCCCAACACCTGCTTTTCCTGCATGCGCAACAAATGCAATACGTCTTTAGAGATCACAGGTTTACAAGGTGGTTCATTCCCAGATTGTAGGCCACAAAAACAGTGGTCAAAATGGAATGAGTATCACGTGCTATAGTTTCATGTTCAAATTACACGTTTTGTAATTGCCCCTTATCAGGAGTTTTACAATTCCAACTCTGACATATCTCTAGATGAATTGAGTATTTGATTTGCAATATGAAGTTCATAAGACCACATGATTGTCGACCACAATTACACAAACTTAAAAACTTATCGATTTGTCAAGCAAAGTCGAAGGTTAGGACGCAGCAATTTCAAGATCCACTAGAAGGATTCAAGCATTAGAGGGTTGAACATTGTGCTTTAATATCCGATACATAAGTAACCAAGTTTCGCTCAAGAAAGTTACAATCAATTTGTTCATCGCGTAAAACATGATGGTGACATACCAGTCCTTGCTGCTGAATCATTCAACATAGCCAAGACACCAAGGAACCTGAGAAGGAGCCTGATTTCAAAGACTTGAGCCTCAGTAATTCTAAAAACTAACTTGAATTAACAGTAAAACAAACAAAAACGAAAAAGTACAGGAGGAATTTCACTTACTTGCGAGGGAACGATTTCGTAGGGACAAACAAAGCTTCACACACCGTCAAGTAAACCAACTAGAAGAGAATATGAATGAAGCCTGCGCTTGCTCCAATAGAATTCAGCTCCTGGGTGTTTGAAGGCGATGTACTTGAGTAAATCAACTCGACAACATACTGGTGAACACCAGAGAAGATACCAAGAGCACCGACAGTCCAGGGCTATAACTGGGATATCTCTTCATGTGATCTGCAAAACAGACATGGATATTGGAGGTGCTCCTCTGGTCCGCAATGGAAGATGAACGATTAAGCTTGCCTGCCACAAGTGAAAGTACCTGCAGCATTCATACACACGAGGCGATGCCTCTCACGAAGTAAATCGATTGAAGTTTCCCGCCTTGAGGCAGAATAAGACAAATTGGGACTCGATTGGCATCACTTGGTATCAGAAACTCCTATGTCAAAGGCTTATGCATCTTCAACATTTCTCGATAGTATACATATCATGCAATGAACTTACCAGATCCTGCCATCCATCTTAAGAGACAAAAGGATCACGTGAATGAATTTGCCCTGGCAGATGCTGCCGGTATTGTTGTTGCTGGCGATGAAGGAACATCAGCTGCTGATGTTGAAGTTGCTGGTGCTGAAGCTGTTGCAGGTCTCCTTGAATTATTGCTTGCGACTGGGCTTCATCAGTGGGCTTCTGCATGTCACTGTAATTGATCTGAGGTTCCGAGTAGGAAGATTGTGCTTGAATATGAGTTGGAACCATGCTATTGAATTTTCGATGATGCAGAGCCCCCATCCCTGCAAAACATAAAATCTTCATTGGAGGAAGAACTAGAATAAAATAACAAAATAAATAAATAAATAAAAATCGGTTATCTGTGGGGAAAAGGTAAATCGAATTGAATACATATATAGAATGGTCATACTATTCAAGCTTAAAAGCCTTCCTAAACAAATAAATTAACAAGAAACAAGAAACAAGAAACAAAACTATCTTCTTCAGGTTAAGGAACAGGATAGGTACCTGGAAAAGGGAAAGGTGCGCTATCGTAGGCTCCACTCTTGATGATGCCATCACTTACAGACCATAAACTGTGACTGTTACTTCTAAGCTGGGAGTCTCTCTCCCCAGAATATCCAGACTGAAGAGCAACAGGCTTAACACTTCTGAAATCATCCAACCATCCGTAGTCATCAACGTTATCTTCTCCGATTTTAGGTTTCTGACTTTGGAACGCACTGGGAGGCTGAAATAACCCCTGAGAGATGCCCAAATTTGGTTTCGCTGCAGACTTGCCTGGAAGAGGTCCAAAACCAGGTGGCGGACGCATCACAGGATGACTAGCCCTGCTTTGAACAGGGTATTCCTTCACATTCCAGCTGCTACTAGTAGGTGCTATTGTATCTCGATTACCTGGCACAATGTACTTTCCTGATTCAAAAGATGACGTTGTCTCGGAAGTAGTTATGAGTGAAAGAGGGCTCGAATTCGGAACTGTTTCTCCGTTGAGGCGGTCATCTGTGGTTCCGCTAGGGACAAACCCAGATATTCCGTACCTTTCCAACATTTCACGCTCTGAACTCCATAGTGACCGAACGTCGTTCTGGCCTTGTGACGCTACAACTGCGCTTGCACTCACCCCCTTGTCTGGAAAATTCATGAAAACGCTTTTTTGATCCTGAAACCAGGACTCCGTACTTAAAGGTGTATATTGAGGAGTATCAGTATACTGATCCAACCAAGTTCCCGCGCTTATCACTGGCGGGGGCATTGTAAGGGCATCAAGAGGCCTTGTCACCACAGTTCCATTACCTAAGGAATTCAGATCAGACAGGTTCAAGGTTGAAAAGGAAGCTGTTGCATCATGAATCAATGAAGTCGACACCGTTGAAGGTCCTGTTACAGAAATCAAGGGCAAAGGAGTTGCAAGCTCAACTAAACCACTCTTACTAGAACCCTTGGCTTTGCTAACATCCAGAGGGTAGCTGCCCTCTTTAGAAGAATTCTGAACTTGTCCCTCACTTGTGTGAAAGGAACCCTGGAACTTTGTTGCAACAGGACCTGATTGAACGCCCACAAAAGCCTCTGGGAGCCAAGAATTTTTGCCAGTAATACTCGGCATGGCAGTGGTCTGCACAGAAGCATCAGAAGTAGATGTTGGGGGGAAATAGAAAGCCGGAGAAATTTTCTCGGAAAGGGATGATGCAGCAACTTCAGATGCAGACGGTCTGTCCTTACTCAAAGGCTTGAAAACTATCACTTCTTCTTCCTCCTCTTCATTTATTACTTTTACAGAGCTCCTGACTGAATTTTCTGCTTTCAGGTGACTGTCGCTGGCAAGAATGCAGCTCTGCGATGTAATCCCGGTGTCACTTTTCTCGTCTTCCTGACTGCCAGCTGTATCTTCGACGCCAGAATCAGAATGCTCTTCTTCCTTTTGATCCTGCCGTACCTCACGAGGTAAAATGAATTTGTTCGACCCTTCATCGTAGCAAATACCTCTCTGTGTGCTTTCCAAAGCATTGGCAACTGCTTTCCCAGCAGCCAGCAACCTCTTAATGCGAACTTTGAAATGCTCGCCTCCTTTCACTTCACGAAATAAACCTTTTGAGTAATCTAAAGCAGTCTGAGCTGGAGCAAGTGGAGTAAAACCTTGTAGCTCAAAATCTTCCCTGAGTGCAACACCACGTTCATTCTCAACTGATCCGCCGAATGAACCAATGGTGATATACTCCTTCGTGCCTGCCTCCTCTTTGATCAACTTCAAGACGCAGTTAAGCAGAACCAGGCATTCGGCCCAGAAGGAGGATCTTGCACTGGCCTGTTCCATGTCAACTTCACTTCCGATCGCCATCTCCGGTCGGCCAGCTAACCACTCCATAAATATGAGCAATGCAGGAAGAAGCACACTGCGAGCCGGGTCTTTCGACTGGTTACACCGACGCATTAGACGCCCAGCACACTCGAATGCTGCTGTAACAGCATGCTGAAAAAGATCTGACCTTTGTAAAATCTCTGCATAAGTCGGATGATTTGCAGCATCTGCGTTCCAGTTAATATTATGAACAGTGAATATCAAAATGGCAACCAATTGAATCACAAATGATGGCCCGACATTCCCCGTAGACGTTCTGCTTTGATAATCAGTCCCTAGGATTGCCTCCAAAATGGAATCATTCCCAGCCAAAAGTCGCTGCAGGTCATTAATTGTTTCCAAATAGACCTGAGGAAAAGTCTCCAAACTGCACCAAACACCATCAAATCATCATCTTTGTGAAAATCCCAGCGCTGTTGTTTAAGAAGGTAATCACGAATACCCAAATGATCAGATTGTAAGCCGATAAAATAAATGCACATCCAAGAGCTCGTCCCCCAGGAACCGGAGTTGTTTGCGATTTAAAAGACAATATGATCACCCAGACATGTGACATCACTCTCCTTCAAATTCAGAATAATTAAAAAGAGAGCCATTCCTGGAATTGTACGAAAACGACAGGAACTAGATATGCATTACCTGGTACGTGTAAACAGTATTCCATTCATACGCACGAAACGGATGCGAAGATTCCTCATCAAATCAGAGTTCTTGGGTGGGCTTGCTATTACATTTGCTTCCTCTGATTTGAGGTCTTTCTTAGCTGACTTCATCGTTCCACTGCTAGGAGGTAGAGTCCGATCTCTTCTGCCACCATGTGCAGCATTCTTCGACATATGAAGTTGACTGTACTGAAGTCGGTTCTGCGACCAAGAAAGTAATACAAATTTAGCCCAGTATAAACCACACAACTGCTGCTGTTGCCCTCTCAAACAAAAGCAGAGCAAGTTAGAGCTAAATTGAATCACGAGATGAACAACTACCTGCTCAAAGAGAAGAATCAGATTGTCTCTGGCGGTGAGAAATGGCGTCTCCACGGAAAGACTGCGGAAGTACCGATAGACTGCGAGGAGTTCATCATTGACGTAGGTTGCCAACACTGCCAACTGTCATAGCCACTCAAAGCATAAACAAAGAAGTACAGAAAAGCCAATCAATTTTCAATTCACACCGGCTCTACTAAAAAGCCAGCAATCTCAGGATCTCTGTCTCTACGATAAACTACATGCCAATGAAAGAACAACGCACACGGAATAAGAGAACCTGGAACTAAGCAGAGAAGTATTGAAAGTTAGCATCCAAGCGTTCTGTAAGTAACTCAACAGAAAAATACGAATCAAAGAGAGACAATGCTAAAGCGCTCACAAGTAATCAGAAATCAAAAATTAAACGTTAATTACGGTTCCAGAGATATATTAAAGACCTGATTGTGCGGATTGCCACTAGATGGCCACAGCGAAGCTGCCTGGAGATAATACCCAGCAGCAACAGAGAAGTCCATAGAGCGAGTATCCTGAAGATTTCCATGCACTTCCTTGTACCGGGCCAAATCGCCTAAAAATATCAAGCAACGGTGACATGAAAGCTGACAACGTTTCACTCTAGCCCTCCGTTCATTGTCATCTCCAGTTATGACCCCATTACCACTGCTCCCAAAGGCAGAGCAATCTTGAGGCAAGCCATTCCTAGCCCGCAACTTCAAAATAAGATTGTGGTAGAAACATGTTACTTCAGCTAGAAAGCTCTTGAATGCGGCAATGATCTTGAGAACGGAATCCCTCTGCGTTCCGCCTTTCAGTGTTGATGCGGCATGATTGATTTTCTTGATTTTGGCTCGGAATTCATCGATCTGTTTGTAATGCAGACGCCAAATTGCTTGCTCCACTTCATGTGATTCGGCAAGCTCATGGTCCTCGAGAATAATTGACTCGTATTTCTCTCGAAGAGAATTTTGCAATGTTCGCACACTCGAATCAAATGGCCCCTTCACCTGAAGCAATGACCGTAGCTGCTTCTCTAGCTCCAGGGCCTGCAAGAAGCAGTTTACACATGAGGTGTCTCCATCGTTTTGAAGAGAAACTACTTGTACAAAACATCTAATTAAATCAAAGGCCAGGTACAAGGCTAGGTTGCTTCACGCACACCAATCCTCCTTAATCCGGCTCTCTATACTACAGTAAGCCCCACAAGCTGTTCACCACAAAGCAAAAAAGACGAGAAAAGTCAAGAAGAAAATCTAATACTGAAACTCCATGTATTACATATCCTCTCGCACCGTAAATACTTGAAGAGTTAAAATTTGAAGGCTCCACTAAATTTCAGAAGAACGAGGTACAGAATTCAAAATTACAAAAAAATGCTCAAATTATTAGAAAGCTGCACTGCATGAGAATTAAAGGAAGTATGAAAGCGAAATCACGTTGCTTAGCTCTACTTATCGATAGCATGATAGATGCACTGGGGATATTAAAAAAACAGTGTGCACGAGTAAACATGTGAAAACACGAGACACTGTTGCTGACTTCATGTACACGTAAGCTTTGACAAACTCTAGGACAGAGGGAAGAAATTCAAAGATCCAGGCACTACTTCAGCGAGAATTCGTATACGGCCTCGGCGGAAACAAAACAAGCACGCACAATGTAGAGGACGATTCGGTTTCGCGAAGCATATTGATTACCGCCAGAGCAGAGTATTCAAGTAAACTACCACTCACAAGTGCTCGATAATCGTTTAGTCTTAATTGAAATACGTACAAGAAAACCTAGCTCACGAGAGGAAACCTCCCAAGACCTTTGCAGGCGATGACCATGTGCGCATGTGCAAACCAAGAAAGCAGAGGCAATTTGGTAGGTTATTGAAGCACATCATACACCAGCAAATCATCATGCATAAAGCAAACAGCAATACTGTCTACTCCCCAAAGATCCAAAAAGACATGTCTACTCCCCAAAGATCCAAAAAGACACCAATCACATCGTTAGAGAGCACTCGAAACCCGCGCCTACATCACCCTTCGTTGCATCCCCACGCGACAAAAAAAAAAAAAAAAAAAAAAAAAAGAAACGCAACCTCTACGTCACATGATTGAAGGCAAGATTGATTAAGATATGCAGCATCAAAAACCGTATCGCGTGCATCAATTCACAATAGTCGACGCGAATTCAGAATCGGGTAAAATTAAATTAAATTACATCAATTTGTACAGTAACAATATTAATAATAAGAATAATAAGAATAATAAAGCAAAAAACAAGACCAGTGCAACGGCTAAATTCCGCCTCGCATCTCGCCTCGCAAGAGATGCGCCAAAAAGAACCACAGATAAGAGACAAGAAGGAACGAGACGTCACCTGATTGTAGTGCTGCTTAGCCAGGGCGAGCGGTGCAGAAACCGGCGCGGTGTCACTTGGCAGGCTCATCATCCATTCCTCGAGCACCTCAGCTCCACCTTGATTAACCACGGCCCGTCCCACTCACAGCGATGCACCGCCGCGTAAGGACAAGCGCCCGACGGAAGACAAAAAAAAACGGATAGCACTCGACGATGCCTCGCGGTCAACAACCGAGAGACCACCAAACCACGAACCCTAAAAAGGTGCAACAGAAATCAAACCCTGGATTTCTAAGGATACCGAAATTTTGCAGATGATCGATTGCTACGCTTATTATTTTGAAATCTTGACTGTTCAGAGAGACAGAGACGGCGCCAGGAGGAGTAGAGAGCAAGGAAAGGAGGGAGGAAAGGGACCGAGAGAGGCAGAGGCAGAGGCAGGGGCAGCAACAAAGGTCGGGGGCAGAGCAGTCCAGGGCAGAGCAACACACACGCGCGCACACAAGCGAAATGCCACCCCCGAGCACCACCGCGCCTGAGCGCGGGCCGTGCCCGGGCCTGGGTCAGCGATGGAACCCCTTGGCCACCCTCCCACCCGTCCCCCACGAGTCTACCGCTTCTTCACTTTCGAAGCGCCCACGTCGTATGCCTTGACCCCCATGCACCCGGGCTTAGGGCCACTCTGCTCCAGCATCGGTCTTAAGGTCGAACAATACTTTTCTTGGTCTTAGGGCCACCCCTAGGTTAGCTTGGTCTGACGGACGCGCCCTTGCCCACTGGAGTCCCTCTCCAAATGCAGCTCATCATCCAAGTGTGAAGTGCCATTATTATACATGATTTATTTTCATGTTTTTTCTTTTAGTGAATGTAGAGGCCGACTAAGCATCTATTCTAATTACATCAAAAAATTAAAAAATAAAAATACAATAATTTTTTCTCAATTTCCAAGTCACTTTGTAAACCTTGTTCTTAATTTAATATAGGAAAACTGAATATATGACATCTATTAATGTTAAATAAATTCTTAAAGATGTCAAAATTGAATTTGTGTGCATTTTATTTCCATACTATTCAAAGTATTAAATTTGGAATAATTCTAAAATTTTAAAAATAATAAAACAAAATTAAAATTATGTATAATGATGTCAATCAAAGAGTATATTAAAATAAAGCTAAAGATAATTTTAAATATATTTTAGAATTTTTATTTTTAAAAAATTAATTATTATAAATTAATTAAATATGAATGTAATATTGTTGTATTGTAACAAGACTATATAATGAAAATATAATCAAAAATAAATTTATAATTATTATCTTATCATCTTGATTCAATAATAATTCAAGACATTTAAACATGGCTTTCATATAAATCTCTTAGTTTATTTTCTTGTCTTAATAGATAGTAGTTTTAAGGTTGGTGAATAATTTTACCTTCTAGGTTATAGAAACTCTTTTATTGCCTTAGAAAAGTCATAAATTGATAAAAGTAGGGTAGAAGAAGTAAATAACTAATATGGTTGATACTAAGATTAAGTTGAGGATAGGATCAAGCAAAACAATTCCTAAGATAGGTTGGATAAATATCCAAAGGTCGACCATTTGTAGGATAGGGTTGAAATTAGACCTCCAACTACTAAAGTGACTACCTATGCCAAAATATGGAGGCATTTGGAGTTTGGCAATTGGAATTAGAGAGCTAATTTTAAGCTTATTTCAAAAGTATAAAGTTTCTTTTCATATGATTTGGAATGAATTTGTAATTATTGTTTGAATTCAAGGTTTGTATTAGTGATTTTGAATTTATACAATACAATTAAGGCTAATGCTCTTGGCTAGTTTGTACAATTGGTGTTATATCTATAATTTAAAATTTGACAATGTTTGGTTAATTGAGTGTACTAAGTATCAAGGACAAGAACTCGATGAAAAAACAATTCAGACAAGTGAGCCTTCACTCAAAAAAAAAAAAAGTAACAAAATATAAATAAACAAGTATGTATATTGAAAGAGAAATTGAAATGGCTATTGCAAAAAGACAAGAAAACTAGAGACCCTTGAAACTAGACTGGAAGCAAGAAAGGAGTTGATAAGAGTGAAGAAGGCTTCACTCTTGTCTCTATATATATTATCTAACTAGGGGCTACATGGCGACGTTCTATAGGACCTCCAATAAGTGTTGACTTTGTAGGACACATGCCTTGACTTACAAGGTAAGTTTTTCTACATGAGGACCACATTGTTAGCTTGGTCTTCAAGCTAACAACATGTGTGGTAAATGGCCAACTTGTTGACCACGTTTCTAATCCAAAAAGTCAATTAAAGACACCTATAAAGTCAAAGCAGTGGCTATGAAGCTTCTAGAAAACTTCTATACCAAATACTATAGAATCAACTTACTTTTACCTACTTTTACTTACTTCTACCTATTTGTATATGTAATTACTGGCTTACATGAGTATGTCCATGATACTAAGTGGTCATAAAATTTTGTGATAATGTAACAATGTGATTGAGAGATATCTAGTTTTTGGTACAAGAAGGTATCGAAAGTTGGTAGTTTGAGGCTTTGTAAGATTTCTATGATATCTAAAGATCTACTTGTTGAAACAAGGTGAAATTTGGCATGGTCTTAGAAGACTTAAAGATTAAGATATATACAAATTATTATCTAAAGTTAGTAATTAAAGAAGGAGAAATTACTACTGGAACATCTATATCAACTTTTGAGTTCGCAGTCAGGTGACATCAGTGCAATTTTTTGGATGTTTTCTCATAGTTTGTAAGTTGGATTGGGCTAAATTTTTATTGAGCATATAAAAGACTTATAGTGGCATTTTTACGTAAAATTTTGCACCAAGTGGATAGTCAAATTAGGAGTTATAGCTTACTAAAGCTCATAGACTAGAGTTAAGGCTTGCAAAGAAAAATTGAAATTGCCTAATTATGAAAGTAATAAGAGAATTGGAGTTTGTATATAGTTGAGATTACTAAAAAGAGTGTTTTTGAGTACTTTGTATTGGCTTTAAACACTTTTTAATTGAAATTCAAATTGCATTCTTCTTGTATGTTGAAACATATTATGATTTTTTAAATATTTATAAAATAGAATTTCACCTTTTTTAGCCAAGTACTTAGTGCATTCTTAAATAAAACAACTTGTAATATGATAATATTTTAAAATTCTATGAATAAAAAAATAAATTATAGTATTATAATATAATATATAAAAATAATTTATTAATGGTTTATTTTTAATAATAATATATTATTTATTATAATAATTAATATACAAAAAAATATTTTCTAATTTATTAATATTATTATAAATATGATTTTATACTTTAAATTTAACAATAACTAATTATTATAAATCAAATTTATATAAAATAATTAAAAACTTAATATATTATGTCTATAAAATAAACCAATAATTATATATAAATTTTATATACATGAAAATAAAACATTAATTATAATATTATATTATATAAATTATAATAAAGATATATTAAAATAATATTTAGATACATATATAATTTATATTAGATATTATGTATTTGACTTATATGTAGACAATTGACATTGGATTATTATGAATTGAGAACTTATAGTTGCCATAAGTTGGTGGTATTACCACATAGTCATAAATAGCTTAATAAGACAACTATATCTAAATCAAATAGACCTTAGTTGTAAGCTTATTGTTAATGTGTTTGTACTTCAAAGACCTTATTATTAGACTATATATTTTTATTATAAGAGCCCAAAACAAAGTTTCATTTTATATGGTTATTTATCTTGAATCTTCATTGATTAGGTGGTGAATTCATTTGTATTCACATCATTAAAATTTTATCTTAGTAATATACTTTCCTATATTTTTTTCATATGATATCAAAGTTTAGCACTATATATTGCTCTTTGCAGGTTAAATAGATTGTATGAGGTTGTTTATAAGACATGGTCTTTTAATAACCTCAAGAGAAATTATTTTTATAGCTTATTTTAAAGAAAATTAAAACTCAAAAGACATCAATATTCTCTATTCTCTTTGAACAAAATGAGATTTGTGACAATAAATTTATAGCAGCAAAAATTTGAACCAATGTTGTCATACTTGCTAAAGTTGTCATAGAGCATTTAGGATTTTAGACATAACAAGCATATTTTATAGGTAAAAAAAAAAAAAAAAAAAAAAAAAAAACTCATGATAGCTAGTGGGACCATGCATTGGTAGAAAGAACTTTGCATCATCAACAATAGATTTTTGGTGGTAAGCAATAACTTTTGAAAATTCTTCTAAGAAAATTTTAAAAAATATATCAAATTTGTAAAATGTCAAGGTTTCCATCAACAAACCAAATCCAAGTTCAAAGACTCTAAAGAAGTTTTGAAAATGAAGTTTTTTTAATCTACTCATAATATTACTTTGTCAAAATTGCCGTTATTTTTATATTTTTAAAATGATGAACTCACTTAGTATCTTTTAAAAAAAATTATATTTATTTTTATTCATAATAATTTATAATATATCATTTTTAGGAAGTACAAGAAACTTATTTAGTTATTTTTAGATCTAATAAAGTTTAGTAAGTAGAAGAATATAGTTTCTATAATATTATTTCTATTTTTTTTTATCCTGCAAGTACATAATTTATAATTACAAACAAGGCTAAAAGCACAATAGTTGCACAAAAATATTTCAAAGCAATGAAGAAGGTAAAAAATACTTCAAATCTATTATACTTAATATATAAATTTTTGATCTTATAAATAAGTAAAGTTAATAGCATTGTTATATACTTATTCAAATCACAAGAGATAATTGAACAACTTGTATTAATTGACAAGAAAGTTTAAAATATATACTTTATCATGGCATTATTAAAAAGTCTTGCAAAATTATTTGATATGTTTGTGGTATCACTAAGAACTCACATCTCAACAAGATTGATATTGAAAATATTTAAGAAATGACAACTATTACAAAAAAAAGTTGAAAAGAAATATTAGCACAAAATAATAATTCTAAGTAATAATCTCATACTTATAATCATGTATGGTATTTTCATGATTTTCTTTTTAACTTCTAAATAAGATTCGCAAAGATAAGCATAATATCTTGTAAGTTAAAGAATTGGCAAAGAATTTTCTATTAGTTAAAAAAATAAAAATCAAGCTTATAAAATTAGTTTTAAAGTATATATATTATTTTATAAAATTCAATAATACTATCATTAAAGGTGATAAATATGGAATCTTATATAAACTACTAAAATCTACAAATACAAAGAAAAATTTACTTATTTTTGAGACAAGAAAAATTATGAACAAAAGAAATCTATGGCACCAATAATTTGGTTATCTTAATATTGTGGACTTGAAAAAATTACAAGAAAATGATATGATTATTAATTTGGATATAGGCAAGTACATAGAGTTAGAATTTTATAAATGATGTGGTTTTGAAAAATAACATTTTAATTCTTTCTAAAAAAAGATGATACTTAAATAAGTAAATTCTTAGAATTAATATATTCTAATGTAAATAGTCTAATATGAGCTACATCTTATGGAAGGAAAAAATACTTTGTTACTTTTATTGATGATTTTAAAAAATTAAAAAGATTAAAAAATATATATTTTTTATTAAAAAAAATTAAAAGTCATAGAAAAATATAAGATTTTCAAGGATCTAGCTAAAAGAAAACAAGTTTGGAAATTAAAAAATTACACAATGGCAATAGTAGTGAATATGAATTTAGGACGTTTAAGGAGTTTTATGAGAAATATGGTATGAAATAAAAAATATTTATACTTTCTATATTTCATCAAAATAAAAGTAAAAATGTAAGTATTAAAAATTATTTGAGAATACATGGTGCA